TCTGGTCGTTCGGTGCCAGAGCGTACCCACTGTCCCTTCAACACCCCTAGCCCTGCCATTGAATGGCCACGGGAATGTGGCGGCCCAACATATGGGGAAAGAGGGTGGTAGCAGATTGGGGAGGCAGGACAAAGGGGTGGACACATTGGAAACAAGGAAAATGAGATGGTGCCTATGAAAATATTTTGAAAGGAAACACAGACTTGAGCACAATAAGCTTAAGGCTAAGGACTTGCAAAGTGCTTCAGCTCCCGGTGCATGGCATTGAGTTAAGAATCTGAGGCCAGCAGGAAAAAAAGAGAAATCAGGCACGGGAGGGGTGGGGTGAGGGGATGCCTGGGGTCATGAGTTTGTCCTCCCTACTACGGGTCTAAGACACCGGGCGGGTTAAGTCGTTTTGGTAACAGAAGTGCGTGATGTAGGGAAAGGGAGGGAGAGTTTCTGGCTGGGTGGAGCTGAGCTCCAGAAAAGGTCTCCTGCTGGGGTTGGGCTGAGGAGGGAGAGGCTGTGAGCAGCAAAGGGTGAGTGCGGTGGGTGGGTAGGAGGGTGTGAGGCGTGGACACAGGCTTGAGGGGCGTTGGAGGTGTTCTTCCAGTAATGCTGCCCTCTTCTCACAGGCACTAAGCTAGACAGCTCGGGCGTGGCCTTTGCAGTGGTAGGGGCCTGCCAGGCCCTGGGTCTCCGAGATGTCCATCTGGCCTTGTCTGAGGATCATGCTTGGGTGGTGTTTGGGCCCAACGGGGAGCAGACAGCTGAGGTCACCTGGCATGGCAAAGGCAACGAGGATCGCAGGGGTCAGACGGTCAATGCTGGTGTGGCAGAACGGGTATAGTATTTCCCCTCGATCTTGCCCCTTTCCTACTCGGTGAGCCCGAGTCTTCGGAGGGATTGTACTTCCCTGTCATGCTCCCCTCAGCCCATCATCCCCCTTTTTTATGTTTGGAGGGGGAAGGCAGATGTGAACCGATTCACGTTGCCATGCCCTAGAGCAGGCACAAGGTGGGGCATCCTGAGATGTCTGCTTTTGTGCCTTTCCAAGAGCTGGCTGTACCTCAAAGGATCGTACATGCGTTGTGACCGCAAGATGGAGGTGGCGTTCATGGTGTGTGCCATCAACCCTTCCATTGATCTTCACACTGACTCCTTGGAGCTGCTGCAACTGCAGCAGGTGAGGAGACCGCCTGTGCCCGGGGCCCTCCCATTCCCTCCTTTCTCAATGCTCAAGGGAAAGTGGAGTTGAGCCATGAAGGGCTTTGCTTTACGAAAGGATTGGGTCTTGAACTCTAGCCCTTCTCTGGTGGAAGGGCCCTGTTGCTTCTGGACACCACTCTAGCTGGTAGGCAGCCCCCTTCTCCTCACTCACACCTCTTTCCCTTCGGCTCTAGAAGCTGCTCTGGCTGCTGTATGACCTAGGACATCTGGAAAGGTCAGTAGAAGGATATGGTCAGGCCTTGGGGGAATCAGGGAGCTGGGTGATACCCTGGGCTTATGATCTGTTCCCAGGTACCCCATGGCACTAGGGAACTTAGCAGATCTGGAGGAGCTGGAGCCCACCCCTGGTCGGCCAGACCCACTAACCCTCTATCACAAGGTGAGACCATCTCCGAAAGCAGCAACTCTGTGTGCCTTACTTTGTGTAAGGCATAGGTAGAATGAGGGTGGTTTTGTGTTTAAGAAGTGCCCTGGGTTCCCCAGCCTAGGATTGCCAACACCTGAATTTATCCCTCAAGCCCAGCATTTTTTCAGCTGGCCTTCACCTTCCTGGCATGTAGCCTATGGAGAGGTGTTAGCTTGCCCCGTGTGGTAGGATGGTCGGACTTGGAAGTCTTTGTACAGGAGCATGCGGGGAGGGCACCTGCCCCAGACTTGAGTGCTCCCTCCCTAGGCTTGTTTCGTGGGGTCATCACTTCTGTTGTCTGCCTTTTTCTTGTAAGCAGGCTTGTAGATTCAGGTCTGAGGTGGAGGTGGGAGGGAGTGGGGAGCACCGGGTAGAAGGGCCAACGGGGAATGGAGCCAGGAGTAGAGACAGGGAGGACTCTGGCATCCTCTTTTTGTAGCATATCACTGATGAGGGCGCTGGGGGCTGCCTCCCTGAGGTTCTTCTGCTCCACCCTCCAGGGAATTGCCTCAGCTAAGGCCTACTACCAGGATGAGCACATCTACCCCTACATGTACCTGGCTGGCTACCACTGTCGTAACCGCAACGTGCGAGAAGCCCTGCAGGCCTGGGCCGACACTGCCACTGTTATCCAAGAGTGAGGATTCCCCTGCCAGGGCCTCCAGTCTGTCCTTCCTCTCACTTTCCAACCCATCATCCACCCCTTTCCCAAGCCTTGTCCCAAGCTCGTTCCCCTCTGATTGGCCCCTACACAGCCAGGGCTGCCATCCCCAGGGAAGTGAGGACCTCTGGTTAGCGTCTCATCTCAGGTCTTTTCTTCCCTCCTCTCTCTGTCCAGTTTATTTCCATTATACATGGTGCCACAGTCTCTGCCCAGTTTCTAGAGTCCAGGGTCCCACATCCCACTTCTTAATCTTGCCTTGGACAAACATGGTCACCATCATCTGGGTGAACAAGGACCCCAGTCTCTTACCCAGTCAGTGGGATGTCCCATTGTGGGGAAACTGTCAACCTGAGTTCTCCATGTTCTCACAGCTACAACTACTGCCGGGAGGATGAGGAGATCTACAAGGAATTCTTTGAAGTGGCCAATGATGTCATCCCCAATCTGCTGAAGGAGGCAGCCAGCCTACTAGAAGCAGGCGAGGAGCGGCCAGGGGAGCAAGCCCAGGTGAAGGGCTGGACTCCATCGGTCCCTCCTTCCTGGCCACGTTGGACTGCCTGGACGGGACTGGGGATTCTCTTTTGCTGGAGATGATATCCTGGGCTTGGGTTTGAAGGGACTTCAGGGTGTTTTGGAGTCTTTAGGTAAAGGCCTAAAATAGCCTTCATGGCCAGGTTATGGCCATAAAGTGGGTTAGGCCGTAAGTGGGGAAAGGCACTTTCCTCCCCTACATACACCAAGGGTTGGCTTTATAAAAGGTCCTGGCCTGCCCTTGCCCTCAGTGGAACCGGGGCTTTGCCCAGGTGGAGCCTGGCTTGCACGCACGCAGTGTCTGACCTCTGATGTATCTTCCCTCTTGTCCAGGGCACCCAGGGCCAAGGTTCTGCCCTCCAGGACCCAGAGTGCTTTGCCCACCTGCTGCGATTCTATGATGGCATCTGCAAATGGGAGGAAGGCAGCCCCACGCCAGTGCTGCATGTAGGCTGGGCAACTTTCCTTGTGCAGTCCCTAGGCCGCTTTGAGGGACAGGTGAGAGGGCACCATCCAGGGGGCTGGAACTACAGGGTGACAGTAGCCACAGAGAGTGAGGTGATAGCATGTGCCTGTCTGAAAGGAGACTCCCAGGAGGGGGCCCTGGGCTGAGCCCAGAGTTCCCACTGGCTAGCTACAACCTTTTCCTTGGCTTGCGCTCTTGCCCAGGTGCGGCAGAAGGTGCACATAGTTAGCCGGGAAGCAGAGGCAGCAGAGACTGAAGAGCCATGGGGGGATGAAGCTCGAGAAGGCCGGCGGCGGGGTCCCCGCCGAGAGTCCAAACCTGAGGAGCCCCCGCCACCCAAGAAACCTGCGTTGGACAAGGGCCCCGCGGGGCAAAGTGCAGGGTCAGGACCACCCCGGAAAACGCCAGGGACTGTCCCAGGTACTGCCCGTGGCTCCGAAGTCGGCAGTGCTGCTCAGGCTCCAGCACCTGCGGCGTCGCCGCCACCGGGGGGCCCAGTGCTCACTTTCCAGAGCGAGAAGATGAAGGGCATGAAGGAGCTACTGGTGGCCACCAAGATCAACTCCAGTGCCATCAAGCTGCAGCTCACAGCACAGTCGCAAGTGCAGATGAAGAAACAGAAAGTGTCCACACCCAGCGACTACACACTCTCTTTCCTTAAGCGGCAGCGCAAGGGCCTCTGAACTGTTAGGGATTCTGTGACTTACTCCCCGCAGGCTTCTCCCTAGTCCCCTAATTCAAGACCAGACTCCGCCCATAGTCCCGAGGGGCCCCAGAGCTGTCCTGCAGTGACTGGGGGCCTTCAGTTAACGCTCCTTTTCAGGCCCCAGAGCAGTAGCCCGGTTCTTAGAGCCCAGGTTTCATCTTCCACCAGCCGACCAACTGAAACGTCATCGTGGGTCCATGGAACCAATCTTGAAAGTCCAACCCCTGAAATTCAATAGACCGTGACAGGAACCCTAGTCAAGCCTGAACAGGTCGGCATGAGGGTGGGGGCTGAGGTTGACCTTAGCCCAGGAGCGCAGATGCTATCCAGGACTCCAGTCCCTAGGGATAGATTTCTGCACTTCAGAGTTCCATCCTTTGGGAATCCAAGTCTCCTACCCCAAAGAACTTATATATTGCTGCCTGAATTTGGAAATCTTCGCTTCCTGGCCTCCCTAGCCCCAGAGTCCTGGACCTGAAGCTCCGACTCTTGTCTGTGAATAGTACTGAGCCTCGCCTGCTTCCTGACCAAACTGGCCCCAGAACAGAGCAGGAGCTCTTCCAGCCCTCTGGGAACCTCCCCGAGGTCCCAGGAGGAAATCTGCACGGGGTGGGGGAGGGCCAGTCTCTTCCTGTTTTGTACATAGATTTATTTTTCAGTTCCAAGGAAGATAAATACATTTTGTTAAAAAAAAAAAAAAAAAAAAGACAAGTCCGTGTTTCGTCTGGGAAATCGGGGATCGGGTGGGGAGTGGAGGTCCGCTTTTGCTCCGTCTTCGGATTTGGAACTTCTCGCTCTGCACCTGTAGCGCGTTGAGAATCCGGGTGTTGGGGGAAGAACCTAAGCTCCGCCCCTAGTTCGGGGACTTCCCCGCGCAGCTAGGGCGCCTCCTCCCGGCTAGGCGGGCGGCGGGGCATCCCCGCTGGCCCCGCCCCGGCCTGGCCCCGCCCCCGCGGCCTCGGAGTCTCGGCGCTGCCCCTGCCCTCCCGCCTCGGCCCGCCCCGCCCCGCGCCGCTCCGCGCCGGCTCCGCAGCTTGCGCCCGCCGGCCGGTCCGGCGCCGGGCCATGGCGCTGCTGCGGGATGTGTCGCTGCAGGATCCGCGGGACCGCTTCGAGCTGCTGCAGCGTGTGGGGGCCGGGACCTATGGCGACGTTTACAAGGTGCGCTGCGCGGGGCTGCGGGACGGGCGGGAGCGCAGGAGGAGGGTGCATCCTCACGTCCCGCCGCGGGAGCCCCGGCCCCGCCCCCTCCTCACCCCGCTTCTCGCCCTGCGCCCCGCAGGCCCGTGACACCGTCACCTCCGAACTGGCTGCGGTGAAGATCGTCAAGCTAGACCCAGGTGTGGGCCCGGGTGGGGCCTCTGTGCTCCAGGGAGGCGGGCGCGGACGCTTGAGCTGGCGGGGGCGGAGAGTTGACATTTCCGAGACCCCCAGAGAGGCCGACTGCAGGAGAGACTTAGGGCTGTCACCTGCTCGGTGAGGAGAGAAACACTCTATGTCCAGTTTGCACATAGGGGCAGAGTCTGGGCTACCCCTGTGTGCCCCCCCCATAATGCCTTGTGCTCCCCAGGCGACGACATCAGCTCTCTTCAGCAGGAAATCACCATCCTTCGTGAATGCCGCCACCCCAATGTTGTGGCCTACATTGGCAGCTACCTCAGGTGAGGTTGTTTATCTTCTTACCCCAGACAGCCCTCGAGTGCCTCGCTGTGTGCCAACCCCAGCTCTCTGTCTCCCCAGGAATGACCGCTTGTGGATCTGTATGGAGTTCTGTGGAGGGGGGTCACTGCAGGAAATTTACCATGGTGAGAGCCAGGCTCCATGGGACATCGCCTTTCTCCATCCCAACAGAGAGGCAAGAGGGCATCCTTCTGGCTGAACTTGGGCTCCTCTTTCCTTCTGACTGGCTGTGTGACCTTGAGAGAAACACCGTCCTTCTCTGGGCTCAGTTTCCCAGCCTAAACTTAGAAGAAATGTGGCTAACATCACTTTCCTGTAGTAGTATCTGCTGCTTCCCCACTGTGCAGGGTGCCTAGGAAGGGTCAGCCTATGCCTCAGGCTCTCTCCAGCCTTCGTATTGTGTATTTCAGCTACTGGGCCTCTGGAAGAACGGCAGATTGCCTATGTTTGCCGGGAGGCACTGAAGGTACTGGGTTCGTAGGCAGCACCCACTTCGGAATCCTTAGGAGTGTGGGCCCAACCCAGCTGGCCTTCAAAGGATTGGGACCTTGGGATGGTAGCCCAGGGGCTATGTGTCCTAGGGGGAGGGGGCCCCCAGTTCTGTTCCCGGAAGCAGCTTATTTCCCTCTTGGCTCAGTCACTTCCTGTTTGGGGAGAGGGGAGGAGGAAGCGGCTTGGGTGGGGGGCCCCCAGTCCTGACGAGGGGCTCAGGAGAGGTAACTAGTTCTAAGTAGCTGTCCTCAGAGACTCCTCTTTGTCCCCAGGGGCTCCACCACCTGCATTCGCAGGGGAAAATCCACCGAGACATCAAGGTAGGGGTCAGCCAAGGGCATGGTTCAAGAGAGGAGGAAGCTGCTAGGTACCTGACACAATCCTTTCTGTGTCCTCCAGGGCGCCAACCTTCTGCTCACTCTGCAGGGTGATGTCAAGCTGGGTCAGTACTGGGGGATGCCATGCAGGTTCAGCAGGGCTCGGAGCATAGAATTTAGTGCTGGGGTCCCAGTGACTTTACTGCTTGAGCCTCAGTTTCCCCATTTAGGAAATGTAGCATTATTACTTGCTTGCTGGTAGTTGGCTGAGGTCGAGGGAAGGCTAGAATAGGGATCAGGTGTTCAGAGATGGTGTCCCCTTCTCAGAAGAGGGGCCTGGCCTGGCTTGGGACAGTTGTGGCTGGACCCAAGCCCTGTCAGATAGCGCCTGTGCCCAGGGATGGGAGGTGAGTGAGGCCCTGAGGCTGGTAAAAGTCTCTTTTTCCTGCAGCGGACTTTGGGGTGTCAGGCGAGCTGACAGCATCTGTGGCCAAGAGGCGGTCTTTCATTGGCACTCCATACTGGTAAGATGGTGCCCTGGTGATGGGAGCAGGGGCCACAGGAGGGCACCTCATCATCCCACTTGTGACCCTGACTCTAGGATGGCGCCTGAGGTTGCTGCTGTGGAACGCAAGGGTGGCTACAATGAGCTGTGTGACGTCTGGGCCCTGGGCATCACTGCCATTGAGCTGGGTGAACTGCAGCCGCCGCTGTTCCACTTGCACCCCATGAGGTCAGCCTAGCACATGCCCCATGCCTGACCCTTACCCTGCTGACCCTTGACCTATGACCTCACATCTTCCCCAGGGCCTTGATGCTAATGTCGAAGAGCAGCTTCCAACCCCCCAAGCTGAGAGACAAGACACGTTGGTGAGGGCTCACAAAACGGCTGAGATACCCTTTTCCAGCCAAGCTGCATGGGATGGAGGCTTTTACCAATGGTTGATCATGGCTCTCACTCTAGGCTGACTCAATATGGACGGAAGGGAAGGGCTGGGGGCTTGTGATGGAGGCGTTGCTATGGCACAACAGCAGCAGTCCCAGCTGCTCCTTGCTGGCTAGCTGGGGCAACTGACAGGATACTGCTGTATAGAACTCAACCTGGGTTTGGGTGGGTGGGGCTTTTGTGCCCACTAGGACCCAGAATTTCCACCACTTCCTCAAGCTGGCCCTAACCAAGAACCCTAAGAAGAGGCCTACAGCTGAGAAGCTTCTGCAGGTGGGAGGCAGGGGAGGAAGCCTAGGGGCTTAAAGCTCAAAGACAAGATCTGGAGGACAGGGGCTAACCTGACCGCCCTTTGCTCCTCCAGCACCCCTTCACAACCCAGCAGCTCCCACGGGCCCTCCTTACGCAGCTCCTGGACAAGGCCAGCGACCCTCACCTGGGAGCCCTGTCCCCTGAAGACTGTGAACTGGAGGTAAAGGGGGACCGGGAGCCGGGTTAGCAGGTCAGAAAAGGTCTGTAGCTGTATAAATCAGAATTTCCATGACTTGTGGGATTCCAGCATAGAGCTCCTCTTTAGTCAAGCCCACCCCCCAAGAATTTTGAATGGGTCTGGCCTCACTGCACTGCCTCGGAGCCAAGTCAGCCATGACTGTGACTAAGCTGTCTCCCTTTCTGTGTGGCCTTTGGCCAGTGTCCTGATGCTTCTGTGCCAGTGTTCCCACCTGTGAAGTTAGGGCTGTAGGGCTGTTTTAGTTCATAGAAATCGTAGAGGGCTGTCATGAAAACAGAACACCTGATGGGGGTGAAGACCTGGGAAAATTCCTGGCAAGAGGTGAGAACTGGATGCAAGTCTGTTGGCTGTGTTCTTTCTTAGACCCAGGATATGTTCCCAGATACCATCCATTCCCGGGGCCATCATGGGCCGGCCGAAAGAACCCCCTCTGAGATCCAGTGTAAGTCTTCTGACGAAGCCAAATGCACCCATGGCCCTGGTGCTGCTTTGGGGGTCCATCCTGAGACGTTGACCCCTCCTAAACCTAAGACTCTTGCTCCCTAGTTCACCAAGTGAAATTTGGCGCTCCTCGACGGAAGGAGACAGATCCTCTCAATGAACCGGTGAGGCACCGGCTATGTCGAGGGAGTGGTGGTGTGGGGTGGCTCCGGTGTCCAGATGCGGGTGGAACATCCCAGATCAAGGCCAGTCTGAAGCAGGGTTGCCTGTGTCACCTGGGTCCTGGGGTAGCGGCTCCCCTGGGCCTGTGTCACCTGGGGTCCTGGGGTGGCAGCCCCTCCTAGGCCATTTTCCCTTAGATAGCACTGGAAAGTGGAAGGCTGGCCACACCCTTCTGAAACGTAGGTCTCACAGGACTGAGGGCCCCAGCTCGGCCAGATCCCCTAGTCTGCCTGTCACAGGATAATGTTTCACCATCTACTCTTACTCTGTCACTTGTTCCTCTCTCTGATCCCACAGTGAGTGCTTCTCTCTGCCCTACTGTCTCCTTCCGTCTCCCCCTCCTGGCTTTCCTCTATGGTCTTTCATGAGTCTTTTCCTGCCACCAGAATATTCTCCGTCTGTCTATTGGTCTGCTCTTTCCTGCACCCCTCTCCTCTCTGTTAATGTTGAGAATGATCTACTCACTTACCCTAGCTGGCCTTGAACTCACCCTGTAGTCTAGGCATGCCTTGAATTCCAGATCATTCCTGGCTGTTCCTTCCATCTCTTGATACCCTTCTCTTTTCCTTCACCTCTTTCCTGTCACTGCCTTGGTTTCCTCCAGTGGGAGGAGGAGTGGACGCTGCTGGGAAAAGAGGAACTGAGTGGGTAAGTGAGCAAGGCTGGGGAGGCTGAGGGGCAGCTTGGGTCTTATGTAAGACTGACCACTGACCCCTTTTTTGGCTCAGGAGCCTGCTGCAGTCAGTCCAGGAGGCCCTGGAAGAAAGGTGAGGGGCCCTTACCTGGGGTGTAGAAGGGCCTCCAGGCTTGGGGGCCAGTCTCCTCTCACACCCCATCATGCCATCTGCTGTGTCCCTGTAGGAGCCTGACTATCCGGCCAGCCTTAGACCTCCAGGTGTGGATCGGAAGAGGGCGGAACTGGGAAGTAAGTCGTATGCATTGGGTGCCATGCTGATGGCCAGGCTGTTACTGACCCTCTTGCCAGGAGCTGGACTCCCCGGATGATGCCATGGGAACCATCAAACGGGCCCCATTTTTGGGGCTGCCCCACACTGAGCCAACACCCGATGACAACACCCAGTCCTCCCCAGGTGAGGCCCAGGCTTGGCAGTCCAGGAGGAGTTCTGGGGTAGGGCCAGGGCTTGCGGTCACTATCCTCTGTGTATAGGAACCCTGTCAGCACCTCCACCCGACCCCGGCAGCCCCCCACTGCTCCCCACTGCTTGGGCTACCCTGAAGCAACGGGAAGATCCTGAGGTAAGAGGACACCACAGGGTTGGGAGGTAGGCTGTAGGGTGTCACCTTGGCCTTGACTCCTTCTCTCCTGCACAGAGATCATCCTGTCATGGCCTTCCTCCCACCCCCAAGGTGCACGTAAGTGTTCACTGGCTGTCCCTAGGCCCTGCTGCCCTGGCCTTCCCACTGGGCCCCTCATCAGCTGCTCCCTTCCTCCCCAGATGGGTGCCTGCTTCTCCAAGGTCTTCAATGGCTGCCCCTTGCAGATCCATGCTGCTGTCACTTGGGTTCACCCTGTGACTCGAGGTGGGCCACGGGTAGAGCAGAGGTAGTAACTTAGGACACCCTTAGGCTTGGGCCAGGGGCGTGTGGCAGCCTCTGATCGGATGCCCATGCCTGCAGACCAGTTCCTGGTGGTTGGGGCGGAGGAAGGCATCTACACCCTCAACCTGCATGAACTGCATGAGGATACTCTGGAGAAGGTGAGGCCTGTTGGCTTTGGGGGCAGAGGCACAGGGATGCTGCTGGGTGCTGACTGCTACTGTCTTCGGTCCTAGCTCATCTCCCAGCGCTGCTCCTGGCTCTACTGTGTGAACAATGTGTTGCTGTCACTCTCAGGTAGGAGGAAGAGGGTGCGGAGGCATCCAAAGCACCCTTCCCAACCTTTCTCTGTGACCTGTGCGGTATTCCCCTTCTGCTTCAGGGAAATCTACCCACATCTGGGCGCATGACCTCCCAGGCCTGTTTGAGCAGCGGAGACTGCAGCACCAGGCACCCCTCTCCATCCCTACCAACCGCCTCACTCAGCGCATCATCCCCAGGTCAGCAGGGGAGGGCTGCTGAGGTGGTCCAGGATAGTGCCTGCTAGATGGGACTCCACCCACTCCTGAGACTGCCAGGGCCTTAGCTCAGTACTCAGGCACTTTGGCATCCCTGAAGCTGCTTCCTCCTGGCCAGTACAGTTGGTGGCCTCCCCTCCTGTCCACCTGGCTTGTTGGAATGGACAGAGGGATGTGGTTGTGAAAGTGCTTTGTAGATGGTGTAGATGGCAGGGCTGTGGCCTTCATCCGGCAGTTTCATGGCTTTGTGCTGGGCCTGGCACATGAGTCAAGAGAAACCCTGCTTTGGAGAGACAAAGGACATAGGCATTCATGACAGGCTCCTTGGTTCAGGATGGGTACTGGGGTAGAGCTGGCGAGAGTGCTCCGAAAGCAGAGGCAGCTCAGAATCAAGAGGATGCATTCCAGTGTTCCAGGGGAGGGGAAAGCGTGTGCAGGTTGGACCAAACAGCAAGACCTGGGGAACCCTGTGGTATTTGGCTTGAGGGTTGAGAGCCACACAGGTGGCCAAACCCCTCCTCTATTTCCAAGCCTCAGACTTGGACGCTGTCCAGTGGACAGCAGTCCTGTCAGCATTTCAGAAGATCCTATTATGTACTGGTCAGTCTGCTTCCTGCTGTAGGTGGTTCAGCTCACTGTCTAAGAGCCAGGCTGGTGGGGTGGCTTATGCCTGACGTCCCAGCACTCAGGAGAATGAGGCAGGAGGATCTCAAGTTTGAGGCCAGCCTGGACTACTTAGGGATACTTTGTCTCAAAGAAGAAAAAAAACAAAACAAAAAACAACAAAAAAACCACAGCTGGGCATGGTGGTGCATGTTTGTAATTTCAACACATGGGAAACAGGGGCAGGAGAACCAGGAATTCATGGTTATTCTTGTCTACTCACTGAGTTCGAGGCCAGCCTGGTCTGTGTGAGTTCCTGTCTGTCAAAACAGAACATACTGACCATGTAGAGAGCTACAGTAGGACTGATATTTGGGAAGCAGAATGGTGAGGTCTGGAGAGCAGATGCGGAGGAGCTCGCTGATGAAGCTAAGCAGCCCAGCACTGACACGTGTGAGGGGCAACCGTTTAGCCACTAACTATGCAGCCAGAACCTTCCTCCTATGTTTGCGGCATTGTGCAGGGCTCAGGCACATCTGTGGACTGAAGGGACCTTTGTCCCTTCTCTTTATGTCATTTTTTTGTGGAAAGGAGGTAGATGGTAAACCTAGAAAAATGAGGCTCTTTGATAGCGATGGCTCAGAGCATATGCCGTGGAGAAGAGCAGGCTGAAGAAGAGGACTATAAAGGGCTGTTTTGAAAGCCTTCTGTGAGAAAGTGCTACTTGAGCCAAGAGCAAAGACAGAGCTGAGGCTGTAGCTTACTGGTAAGGTAAGGTAAGGTAAAGGAGTTTGCCTAGCCTATAGGAGGCCCTCGGTTTAGTCCCCAGCACTGTAGGAACCTGGGAGTGCAGGACTGGCAAGATTGCTCAGTGGTTAAAGACACCTGCCACCTGATGATGGAAAGAGAAATTCAACTCCTTCAAGCTTCTCCGACCTCCACAATCACATCATGATGTGTATACACACACACACACACACACACACACACACACGTGTGAGTGTGTGTGCAATAAATAAGTGAAGTAAATAATTTTATGTCGATTGGGTGAGAGTGTCAGATCCCCTGGAACTGGAGTGGTAGACAGTTGTGAGCTGCTATGTGGTGCTGGAAATTTAACCTGGATCCTCTGAAGGGCCACTGAGCCATCTCTCCAGCCCCAATAAATTTAATTTTTAAGAAGCTAGAGAGCTGTAGGGATACTTTAGGAGACGAGATGCCCAAGACAGAGGTCTTAGGGAAGAAGCCTGCTGGGGGAACAGGAGGTCATCGAGGGTCTGTCTCTACAGGGAGGCCTTGGGCTATGACTCACAGCAGCTTGGAGGCTGCTGGTGAGCTGTGACTGGCCCTGAGGTCCTCATGGGTTCTCTGTGGGTGAGTGAGGACCAGGCCACTGATGAAGGAGGATGCTGGGGGCCGTGGGAAGCCCACTGCAGTATTTAGGTGGCCAGCAATGGAGGTGCAGGCTGCAGTAGGCAGAAAGGAAGTGAGAACCGTCTGGTTCTGGTTGTTTTGAAAGTGGAGCCAGCAGGATTTCCTGGTGATAGGCGGTCTTTGAAAGAGAAAGGGGAGCCAAGGTTGAGTGGGAGGCTTCTGACCTAGGCTGAGGGAAGGATGGAGCTGTCATCAGCTGCAAGTGACATAGGAGTCTGGCCTTAATTCAGTTTGCCACATTAAGTAAATTATATGCCTGTCATCTCAGCATTCAAGTAGTTGAGGCAGAGGATTACTGGAAGTTTGATGCCACAATGTGAGACCCTGTCTGAAAATTCACATTTCAAAAGATGCATATTCCCTGAGAATGGGACCTCCCTTGTCCATCTGGGAGAAGTGCAGCAGAAGGGTGGGCCAGGAAGCACTCCAGTGTTACTGTGACCAGCTTGGGGGCCAGGCCAGGCCTGGCCTGGGCAGCAGTGCTGGGAGCTCTGGAGGAGAGCCTTATCTACAGAGCCCAGAGCAAGCCTGGATCTGGTGCCCTGTGGCCTCTGGGCTTCCTGAGCCTCTGTTCTGACCGACAACCTTCACGCAAAGGGCTTGCCAGAGCCCCAGGAAATCAGGGGCAGATTTGACTCTGTGCCTGTCTACTTTGAACATAGAGAAGAAGGAAAGAAATGGGATTCTTAGAGGAAGCGCCAGATGCAAACACCAGGTGCCAGCTGGGGAGAGAGTGGAAGGAAGAGGGAGGGCAGAGGGCAGCACAGTGAGGCAGACACCAGCTTCCTCCCAGGGGCTTGTCCTGGCAGGAGGACAGACCGGACCTGAGGCACTGGGAGGAGATTGCCTTGTTAACAGCTCAGTTCCTCAGATGAAAAAAAAAAAACAGGTTCAAACGATCAGTCCCCTGAGGGAATGGGGGACTCCCCGTAAGACAGCCACCCACTGGCTCCACAGGGTCAGAGCCCCAGCGAGGGTGCAGAAGGCAGGCCGTTTGCCCTTTGAAGTCTGTACGTTTCCCAGGGCCTGTTTGTCAGTCTTTGAAATGGGCTGAGTATGCTCAAGCTGGAACCTGCATCAGCTTCTGGTCTCCACGCTAGCTGCCTCCGCTGCCAGCCAGGAACAGGCACAGAGAGGCAGAAGTGGCTGGTTTAAAACCACCCAGGACCTGCCTGTAATCCTAGCACTTGGGAGACTGAGGCAAGAGGATTGCTACAAATTCTAAACTAATCTGGGCTGCAGAGTCAAAACTAAAGGAGGGATGCTGCAACGGCTCAGTTTATCAGGTAAAGGTGATCGCTGCTAAGCTCAGGCCCAAGGACTCACACAGTGGAAGGGGGACTGGCTCCTGCAAGCTATCTTTTGACCTTTATATATGGGCCGTGATGTGTACCCCCATCATCAAGCAATCATTTTAAAGAAATACTGTATTTTAGAGCCGGTGTGGTAATGCACGCCTGTAATAATCCCAGCACTCAGGGAGGCCCAGGCAGGCAGATCTCTGTGAATTTGAGGCCAGCCTGGTCTACAGAGTGAGTCCACGACAGCCAAGGCTACACAGAGAAATCCTGTCTCAGAAAAAAATACTTTTACCTTTAATTTTTTTTACATTTATGATTATGTTTTTGCTTGTTTGAGACAGGGTCTCTCTCTCTCTCTCTCTCTCTCTCTCTCTCTCTCTCTCTCTAGCCCTGGCTGTCCTAGAACTCACTATGTAGACCAGGCTGGCTCTAAACTCAAAGAGATCCTGCTTCTGCCTCCCAAATGCTGGGATTAAAGGCATTATTTTTTGGGGGGTGGTGGGGGAGGTCAGAAGACAACTTACAGAAGTAATTTTCCTCAGTCTGGCACCTGGACCCCAGGAATTCAGTTCAGGTTGTAAGTCTTGATAGCAGGTACCTGTATCTAATGAGTCATCTAGCTAGCCCAAGAAAAGTTGAGGAGGAGTTGAGAGAGAGAGAGAGTGGTAGCATTGGATCTGGTGGCTCAGGCTTCTAATGTCAGCACCTGGAAAAATTCAGCAAGATCAGGAGTTTGAGAGCAGCCTGGGTTACATGAACTTTGTCTCCAAAAACTTAAAATTGAACTGGGACGGGAGAGATGACTTGAGTGGTTAAGAGGCATTGCTCTCTTCCAGAGGACCTGGGTTCAGTTCCCATTATCTACCTGATCGCTGACAGCCACCTTTAACCTCAGGGTCTCTGAGGTGCCTTCTCACCTTTGCAGGCTCCAGGCACAAAATGAATGTACATAATAGACACGCAGGCGTGCAGGCAAACATTTAGATACACAAAAATAAACTTTAGAGAGAGAAACCCGAAAGAACCACCCTCCTAGGATGAGTGCCAGGCCTGGGGAGTCCAAGATGCCCACCGATCCTCGGCCCCTTACAGCTCTTACAGGCACACTGCTGTGCCTCACTGAGCCTAGTGTCTCATCCATAAAGTAGAAAGGCGACAGTGACCACCTCACAGGGCTCAGTGGGGCCTCGCCCATGGATGGCTCTCAGAACATAGGCTGATTTTAACCCCCTCCCCCGCAGGCGCTTTGCTCTGTCCACTAAGATTCCTGACACCAAAGGCTGCCTGCAGTGTCGTGTGGGTAAGAGCTGGCTGGGTGGGGTGGGGGAGGGGAGGTTGCTGTGAGGCTGGAACCTTTGCCCAACACCTCCTTTTCCCACAGTTCGGAACCCCTACACAGGCAGCACTTTCCTGCTGGCTGCCCTGCCCGCCAGCCTGCTTCTGCTGCAGTGGTATGAGCCATTGCAGAAATTCCTGCTGCTGAAGGTAAGAGGCCAGAAGATCCCTGGGTGGCAGGATGCCCGCAGGAGAAACAGAGCCGAGCCTCTCTGCTGTCCCCCAGAATTTTTCCAGTCCCTTGCCCAGCCCAGCAGGGATGCTGGAGCCGCTGGTGCTAGATGGAAAGGAGCTGCCACAGGTGTGCGTGGGCGCCGAGGGGCCTGAGGGACCTGGCTGCCGAGTCCTGTTCCACGTCTTGCCCCTGGAGGCTGGCCTGACTCCAGACATCCTCATCCCTCCTGGTGAGCGGCAGAGCTGGGTGCTTGAGAAAGTCAAGAGAGGTGGGGTTATGGGACACCTCAGTCCAGGCTCTCTGATCGGGGCTTCCATGAAGGATTTTTATCAGACTAGCCTGGGCACAGTGGCACGGGCCTGCGATTCCCTCCTCTGAGGCTAAAGCATGAGGATTGCATGGACCCATGACTAGACGCTAGCCTTGGATGACATAACAAGCCAGAGCTTTTGTTTCTTGTTTCTGCTCTTGTTTCTTTAAAGAAAGGCATGGTGGTATAAGCATTTGGCAGGCCAAGGCAGGAAGATGCTGAGTTTGAGGACGATCTGGGCTATATAGAATTCAATGGCAGCCTGACCTGCATAGCGTGGTCCAGTCTCAAAAGCAAAACAAGTCTAGGCAGCGTAGCATGTGACTTTAATCCTCGCACTCTGGGAGGCAGAGACAGGTGGACCTGTGAGTTTGAGGCCAGCCTAATCTACATGAGTTTTACAACAGCCAGAGCTACACAATAGAGAGACCCTATCTTAAACAAAACAAAAAAAAAAAAAAAAAAAAAAAAAACCCAAACGAATCACATAAAAAAAGACAACTAAACAAAAAGATCTCCTAAGATTAAAGGGCTTGGCAGCCAAGAGAAAGCTGGCTGCTTGTGCTTGAGCCTTAGCCAGCAACAGCAGGAAGAAGAGGGTTTCTGGCCAGGTAGGAAACAGAGGCTTCCACTCTAAGCAGGCAAGGATGACCTCTTGGCCACAGGGACAGCTGGGGCAGTGGTTAGAGAAAGAAGGGCTCAAGAGGTGCCAGGAGCCCTTTGGAATTTCATTGCCAATTCTTTTGAGACAGAGTTTCTCTGTGTTGCCTTGCCTGTCCTGGATTCGCTTTGTAGATCAGGCTGGCCTTGAACTCACAGAGATCCACCTGCCTCTGCCTCCCCAAGTCCTGGGACTACAGGCATGCACCCCTGTGCCTGGCTTTCTGTTGCTTTTTTAAAAAATATATTTTTAAAATTTACTTTATGTGTATGAATGCTTTCCCTTAATGTCTGTATATATACCACATGCATGCCTTGGAGGTTAGAAGAAGGTGACTTGGAGTTAAAGGTGGTCATGAGCCACTATGTGCATGCTGAGAATCGAACCTGCATCCTTTGGAAGAGCAGCCAGTGCTCTTAACCACTGAACCATCTCTCCATCCCCCTCAGTATTAATTCTTACAATGGCCCTGCAAAGTGGGTAACTCATGTCTGAGTTATTAAACAGGAAAATTAAGTTCAGAGAGAGAGACTTGTGCCAGGCCACACAGTGAACGAACCTCACTGCCTGGTTTGTCTGACCCTGGAACTCCTTCCTGGATCTTAATGAGCCTAAGGGCAAGTCCCTTGGTCTGAGTCTGATCCCATGGGGCTGGTGTGAGGTGAGCTATGCTCTTGGTTTAAGACTGGCTGTAGCATGTCCCCTCAGTCCTTGGGAGGCTGGAGTGGGATGGTGGCTCAGCCAGCCAAGCCTTGCCTCTCTTCTCTGCCCACAGAGGGGGTCCCAGGCTCTGCCCAGCAGGTGATCCAGGTGGACAGGGACACGGTGCTGGTCAGCTTTGAACGTGAGTTCCGTAGGATCGGGGTTGCAGGACGGTGGTGAGGAAGGCTTCATGGGCCTGTCACCCCCCACCCACCAGCTCTCTCCCTGTGCAGGCTGTGTGAGGATCGTTAACTTGCAGGGTGAGCCCACGGCTGCACTGGCCCCTGAGCTTACCTTCGACTTCCCTATCGAGACTGTGGGTGAGTATGCCAGATGTGGACCTGGCAGTATCCACAGTCCAGAAGTACATGATCGGGCTCTGGGCTGGCGATAGGACCGGGGTAGATTCCCTATTCCTCTTGGGGAGTCGGCATGGTCACCCAGCATCAGCGAGGGCCCCCTGTGGTTGGCCTGGGTCAGGTGGGGCTGGAGTGGCCACTATGTCTTGTGGCAAGGGTGAGGGGATTTGTGGTGTGCGGGGGGGGGGGGGATAGGGCTGACAGCCTGTTCTTCCAGTGTGCCTGCAGGACAGTGTGCTGGCTTTCTGGAGCCATGGCATGCAGGGCCGAAGTCTGGACACCAACGAGGTGAGTGGGGCTTGGGGAGCCAGCTACCTCCAGCTCTGAGGGCCTTGTTTAGAAAGGACCTGCTGGGATGGTCTCAGAGCCCCCCTTGTCTTCCAGGTGACTCAGGAGATTACGGATGAGACCAGGATCTTCCGCGTGCTGGGGGCCCACAGGTACACTCGGATGGTATCAGAAGTGCGCCTTCCATTTCAGATACCGCCCCAGGCTGGAGACGGGGATGGGTCACCCAGCTCTCCTGCATTGCTCACCTTGTGCCTGTTCCCTCACCAGGGACATCATCCTGGAAAGCATTCCTACTGACAACCCCGGGGCACACAGCAACCTCTACATTCTCACGGGTCACCAGAGCAGCTACTGAGCTGTCTCTTTGACAGCACCCAGGCCTCGGTTGCCACCTCCAGCCTCTGCTAGGGTCCCAGAGGGCAGACCTAACTCTGAGAAGTGTTTGGGGGCAGGGAGGGGAGGTAGCCCACCCCCCTAAGCAATAACTGGACCAGAGGAAGCTGTGACCACCTACCCTCCCTGGTGTGTTGCCCCCAGTGCAGGAGGCCCTGGGCAGGATGGGGCTGCCTGGCTCATCATTCCACTTTCTCACTTTTCCTTTCCGTTTCTTTTGCCAAGAGCCTGTCCCAGCTTCTATCCTGGGCAACATGTATTTAAGAGAGAATTATATTGGTATTAAAGCTGGTTGGTTTTATCCCACTAGTTCCTCTGGGGTGGAGGGGCTGAGCCTTCACCTTTGCCCCATCCTCTTTCCCTTTTCCTGCAGGAAACCTTTCTGTAAGTAATTGCTTGGTCTCAGGTGTGTACCATAGAAGAGCCAGTCCACTGGTGCTCTGTAGAGCCTAGGCTCAGGTGACGCAAGTCTGGTCCAATAGCCATCCTGGACCTCTCCCTTCCTGGTCCCTGCCCTGAGCAGCCCTCCCTCAGCTTTATAAATTGAGACCCCTGCTGTAATCTAGCATCTTACGGGACATACGCAGGCGAGCACTGAGTAAAGTGGCCTGTTCAGGGCAGCCTCGCGCCAAATAGGGTCTCGCTTATAATCCTTGGGAGGCTGCTGGAAGCTACCATTTCCTTGACTGTTCTGGGATCTGCGCCCTGTCCCTGTCTACTGCAATGTCCATGGTAAGCTTGTAACAATACAGTGACACGCCGGCTTAGCCTGGGAAGATGGATGGATGTGGGCTCCTTTAGTGTTCTGTCACTCCACGCCAGGCTTGGGGTCACTACCAACATACAGCTCAACACCCAAGAAACTCACTGGCACCCATCTCCCCTGTGGCTTTTGCTTTGTATTGTCCCCTTGCAAAGGCTCAGAGACCCCAGGTCAGCTGTCCCCCCTCACCTGAGGCCCCAAATGCCGACTGACCAAGGCCACTGAAGGAGGGTGTGCACACGGATAGGGCCTGGCATGGGAGGGTTAGAGGGGCCTGTGGAGCGAAGGTCCAGATCTCAGTGCTCACTCCCAGCTCATTGTCTCCCTGCTGACATTTAGAACAAGTGTTGGCAGGAGGTCTTGTGCCTGGTATGCTGGCTGCAAGTATCTGCCAGTTAGTTCAGTGAAGCAGTGGGTGGGTGAGGGGAGGTGGGTGGCAGCTCATGTGAATGGTTATTTCTGTCCCCTTGACTACCCTCTTCTAAATATCTGATTGCTTGGTTTCTAGTGACCAAGAGGTTGGCTTGGTTGAGATAGGGAGCCAGATCCCAAGTCAGGTCATCTGAGGAGTCAGGGTAAAAAGGGCTACAGAGTAATACCTAGCTTCCTGTCTCCTGGATTTCTTGGGAGCATGCTGGCGATGGGAGTGAGAGACCCAGCCCACAACACTTGACCCCAGGTGCCCTGGGAGAACTGGCCCTCAGAGCGGTGGGCTGCACAGTGCCACCTTGTGGCAGGAGTCCATCTGAAAGGGAGGCTTAGGGATGCAGAACACCCGTGAAAGGAAAGACCCACTGCCAGCAAAAGGTGGGTGTCGCAAGCCAAAGACAGGGCAGCCAGGAGTATGCGCTGCAAGATGTAATTTTATTTGTGTTTGTTTATAGACAGCCTTTTTCAGACACAAGAGAGACACAAGGTGAATGCCTGTGCCTCCAGTACTCAGGGGGCAGAGGCAAGACTGTGAACAGTAGTCCAGTCTGGTCTACATAGTGAACCACCGGCCAGCCAAGGTTACATGCAGACAAGACCCTGCCTCAAAAATAAATAAAATTTGCCTCTCATTTGTCCTCCAGTCCCTTCTAGAAGAATTTATGATGTTTAAACAATCTGGTATATTTTTATTCACATGGCAACATTCTGTATATCCTTCTGGCTTCCTGAGAGTACATTCTGGAGGTCTTTCCATTATCAGCCTGGCTTTTTGTATAGCTAGTGCAGGGTTGTGTGCGTTTCAGGTGACTAATGCTAACTGAAAGATCTTTATTGATGGAATGTATTTTTACTTTAGTGTCACAAACCACACTGCAATAAATAACTGTGTCGGAGCCACTCTGTGTACTCAAGTGTTGCTGGGAGATCAATTCCTGGAAGTGGTAGTGCTGGGTTGGAGTGACCGTGTTTGCCACAGTGAGGTGCTGGAAACAAATGCCCTGAGTGTTACCTGTGGGATGGGGCCTCTTCATTTCTGTGAACAGAGATACATACTGAGACCTTGAGTGAAAAAGAACAGAGAATGTTGACTCGTTAGCACATTCAACAAACAGGTCTGTGCTGGAAAGGCACATGGGAAAGCCCTGGTGCAGCCCATCCTTGAATCTGCAGAAGAGCCTCTGGGATGAGAAAACGTGATGTGGAGCTCAGGGCAGGTGCCCTATTCCCTAGATGCACTGTCAGCTAATCAGGGCAGTCAGGAAATCATGAAGCCCTTATGGCAGCAACACAAATGGGTCTTAAACCAAGAGTAAGTTCCATAAAATGGCAAGAAAGAGTCTCAGATGATGTGTAAGGAAGCTCAGAAACAAGCAAAGCAGACTCATCTGAAAGTCGTATGCTAACGCACATCTACAGTCCTAGTACTCAGGATGCTGAGGCAAGAGAAGTCAGTTTAAGGCCAGCTTCAGCTACACAGCAAGACCCTATGTGTTGGGAGGAGGGGAGGAAAGGAAAATGGCAGCTTTTAAGCTAAGGCCTCAGGAGCAGGGACTGCAAAGGGGTTTGCTACTGACTCTTCTGGAATGGAGAGTTGACAGTGAAGGCTGTAGAAGTGTCTATGACTCTCTTGGTCTACAATGGCGGTCAAACCCAAGGCCTTACATTACAAAATCACTCTGGCACCTGGCTTCGTCGTCAGCCCCAGAAACCATGTTTGTACTATAAACGTAGAAAAATGAACAGAATGACCAATTTATTAAGTTGATTATTTTAAAGCTGGGGAGATAGATGGCTCAGTGGGTAAAAGCACTTTAATGGGGACATGGGAGGTGAAGACAGGAAAGTCAGCTTGAGAGCAAGTTAGCATAGAGTACTCAATGCAGCAGCAGAAATGAGAGAGATGCTTAAACAACTCAGAAGGAAAACTGACAACTGAACATTGCTCTCTCATCTCCATACAAGCCATGTGGCATGAACACGCCAGCACTCACATACAACACACACAAAAATAAACTAGTTTGAAAAGAAGTTGGTTATTGAGATGGTTATTTTGCTAACTTGATACAACCTAGAATTCTTGGCTAATAGTCTTAATGAGACTGTCTCTATCAGGTTGGCCTGTAGCCACGTCAAATAGGAAGATCCAGACCCCTGTTAGTGGCACTATTCCCTAGGCAGGGGGTCCTGCAGTTGCTGGGGCCAGGGTTACACAGAGAAACCCTGTCTTTAAAAAACAAAAAACCGAAGGGCTGAGATTAGTTAGTAGAGAACTTGCCTAGCATGCAAGAAGGCCTGGATCCCATCCCCAGGCAGTGTTAGTGAATACCAACAATCCCAGACTCCTAGAGGTGGTAAGAGGAGGATCTGAAATTTAAAGTAGTTTGAAGCTAGCCTGGACTACAGGAGAGCCTGTCTGAAAGCGAGGGGGGGAGGGGGGAGGGGGAGCAGCTGGGCATATTATATAGCCTTTAATCTCAACATTTGGGAGGCAGAGGCAGGTGGATCTGAGTTCTTGATGAGCCTGGTCTGCATACAGGACTACACAGTGAGACTGTCTCAAACAAAACAACCCCCTCTAAAGAGGATTCTACCAAAGAACCTTCTTCTCACTACTTTTCCTTCTGGCAGAACTTCACATAGCCAGGCTGGCTTTGATCCGTCCCTTCGCCTCCACTCCTGAGCGCTGTGATTACAGGCATGTGCCACCGCCCTGCTCACCTTTTCTATTTATTTTAATTATTTACTATGTATACAATGTTCTTTCTGCATGTATGACAGAAGAGGGCACCAGATCTCATTATAGATGGTTTTGAGCCACCATGTGGTTGCTGGGAATTGAACTCAGGAGCTTTGGAAGAGCAGATAGTGCTCTTAACTTCTGAGCCATCTCTCCAGCCCCCATGTTATTTATTTTGTAGTACTGCAGATTGGACCTGGGGCCTTGCTCGCGCTAGGCAAGTGCTTAATCAGAGCTGTCTTTTTATTATTATTAAAAAGGGGGGAGGGGTCTGGAGAGCTGGCTCAGTAGTCAAGAGCACTTGATGATCTTGCCGAGGACCCAGGTTCAGTTCCCAACACCCACGTTGGCTCACAATTGTCTGATTCCAGTCTTCGGGGGATCTTGTTTTGGTTTATGATATATAAACACGTTGTTAAAATTTCAAGTTGGGGGGGGGTTTAGTTTGTCCACACCTGTTAAGTGTCTCGTGCAGAGCATGGTCTTTGCCAGCTGGAATTAGTTGAAGTCTGAGGACTTTGAGGGGTATAAATATGACGGCCTAGAGGAAGATGGTGCAGGTGCTTGGAGGAGGACTGCTTGCGGCTGGTTTGCTCTGCTGCGTTTGCTGCTTGCTGATTTGCTGGTGACCTGGACTTCTGGATTTCTGCACAACTGATATTTGGTATTGCCCCCAACAGAATCCTATCGACCCTACTCAGTGGGAAGCAGCAGAGAGAACTCCGCCCCCTGTCCCCACTAACCTTCTTTCCCTCCTACGTGGTGTTGGGGGATTGGAGAGGGGGGTAGAAACGTTTAATAACCCTAAATAAAGTAAGTTTGTTAAAAAATCAAGGTCAACAGGATCTGATCTGGAGGCTTTCTGTTTCTGCTGCTACTAGGTATACACAATATGAAGGTATACATACACACATTTGTTTTTCAAGACAGGGTATCTCTGTATCGTCCTGCCTGTCCTGGAACTCGCTCTGTAGACCAGACTAGCCTTGAACACAGAGCTCCACTTGCCTCTGCCTCCCAGTGCTGAGATTAAAGGAGTGTGCCATCACCCTTCATAAACATTTTTTTTTATCTTAAAGGTTTTTACTATAATCACGTGTGTATGTCCACATGTGGATCTATGACTCTGAGTACAATGTTTGAAGATGCAGAGGGCATAAGCTTCCCGGAGCTGGAGTTACAGGCAGTTGTGAGCTACCTGACATGGAAGCTGGGAACCAAACTCTGTCCTCTGCAAGAGCAGTTCCTACTGAGGCTACTACTGAGCCTCTCTCTAACTCTTTGTGTCCCTCTCTCTCCTCTCTGTAGCCCTGTACCTTGGCCGGCCTTGAACTTGCCTCAGTCGTCTTGCCTCCGCCTCTCCAGTACTAGGATTAGGGAACTGAGCCACTGTACGAGATCTTTTTCCCTTTTCCTACTTTAACTTTTAGATGGGATCTAACTGTAGTCCATAGCCTCAAATTCATGTCTCCTTCCTTAGCTCGTGGCTTTTTTTTTTTGTTTTTAAAGGATGAATGTTTCATTTCTCACTGTGCTGCTAAGTCAGTGCTACCCTGTAAAAAGAGCAGCGGTCTATTGCCAGACAACTGCCCAAGCAATGGCAAGGAGACCTGTTATTAACAGGAAAGCTTGGCCTTGGCGTAGGCTTGTTCCCAACTAGCTCGAATAACTGAAACTAACCTGTTTGCACTAATCTGCGTTCTGCTATGTGGCTTGTTACCTCTCCTCAGTCCTGGCACCTGTTTCTGCCTCCGTTTGGCTGGTGAATGAATCCTCAGCACCTGATTCTTTCCCACAGTCTCTGCCCGGAAGTCCTGCCTATCCTCTCCTGTCCTGCTATAGGCTGTTCAGCTATAGCCAATCAGAAGGTGATAGACAAGAAGTTTACAAAACGCTGAGACAGCTGGGCACAGTGGGGCAGCCCGTAATCCCAGAGGCAGGGGGATTCCTTTGAGTTCGAGGCCAGCCTGGACTACGAAGCTAGTCTAGGGCAGGCCAAAGATACAGAGAAACCCTGTCTCAAAAAACAAAACACTGAGCCAAGTGATGCTTCATAAAAATCAACATCTGAGTAGCACAGAAACGACATTTACACAGTGTACAAGGAGACTAGCCCAACAGCAGTCAATGCAGCCATGATAAATAAGACGGTACTGTCCTTCATCTGACACTGTACAACACTTTCCTGCTGTCCCACGCATTTCCAATGAGAAGGCACATTAAGTCGTTTGACCTAAGCCCAGGGGTGGATATGGGCAACTTAGAATATTATGCAGTGGTGGGGTGAGGTTTTGTGCACTGTGTATTCAAATGCTGATCTCTGTGCCCAGAGATCTGATTGCGGTCCTGACTTGGGCACTGGTATTGTCGTGAAGCACCTCCTGTCTTGGTATGTTGTAAACATTGTTCTCCATCACCTTTTCAACAGTCAATTGTAATGGAAGTTTGGCTTCTTTAAAAGCTCAGTTATGCAGACATGTTTTTGTTTTAATCCCAAGAGTGGGATTTTAGTTTGGGCTTCAGTTTGTCCACAAGTGATAACTGCCTCCTGTTGGGCATGGTGTTCGCCAGCTGGTAACTGCCTGCCTCATACAGCACAGAGACGGTTGTGGTCTAGGACTCGAGGGATATAAATCTGAGAGATCAGAAAGAGAAGGTGTGGCGGTTTGGAGACACCAGAGGCTGAAGGTGTGGAGAACTGGAGGAGACCACTTGCTGTGTTTGCTGGTGACGGAGACTGGTATAGCCCCAAAAGAACCCATCGACCCCTTAACAGCCAGGAGAAGTAAAGGTGTCTGCATTCTGTCTCCCCACTACCCTCTCTCTTACCTAGGGTTAAAGCGTTGGTAGAAGGGAGGTAGAGGCTTAAATACCCCAGATAAAATAGCTTAAAAATAAGCACAACAGCCAATAGCTGGACAGGAGAGGATAAGGCGGGACTTCCAGGCCCAGGAAGAGGGTCTCAGGTGGGGGGACCAGAAGGATATGGAGTACCATGAGGACATGGATGGAGAAGGAACAGCCAGGGTGAGACTAAGATGGCAGATAACAGGCCATGTGGCTGGGAAGTAGGCAAGGCCAGCATAGTCAGGGTGGAATAGCTCATTATCTGCTATAGTAACTAAAGCTTTTAATAAATACAATAGTCTCTGTGTCATTATTCAGGAGCTGGAGGAGGGCATAAAAAAGACATTATACATTTACAATGCAAAACTTACAACACTGTTATTCTGAATTATGGAATTCTTGTAATCACTAGGTAGGGTCTCATCATGTAACTCTGGCTGGCCTGGAACTTGCTACATGGAGCAGGCTGGCCTCTAACTCTCCCTGTTGAATTAAAGGGCAATTTATCATCAAATCCAGCTTTATAACTACTTTTGCCATAGATTTCATGAACTCTAAAAACCAGAGCTAAACTTAGTCTAAATACATACTCTAGGGTATTATGAAAATATGTACATTGTGCTTATCTTGTACACATTAGGAAGTTGGGTGTTTTGTTTTTCAAGACAGGGTTTCTTTGGACTTGCTTTGTAGAGCAGGCTGGCCTCAAACTCATGGGAGATCTGCCTGTCTCTGCCTCTTGAGCACTGGGATTAAAGGTGTGTGTCACCTTTAATCCAGCCTGGGAGTTTTTTTTAAAGCAGCACTGTCAAGAATAGTTTGTTTTCCATCAGTACTGCTAAAAGCTAGTTCAAGTCTTCTATCCTCCACAAATTTAACACAAGCATATTGGAGCAGGTTACTTCCTACTGTTTAATTGCAGGGTGCGCCATGTTACTCGTCAATGGACTTCATATATTTCTCATATGCTTTGCTCATTAGTTCATCCAGCTATGAGTGGTCACTCAGTGTCCTCTTGATCAGCCAGCCACCTTCATGGATTTGCTGGCGAGCCTCAGGTTTTCTGCAAGTGCTTCATTGACTTCAGTTACCTCTCCTGATGAGCAGAGTATACTGGCAGGCTTTACCACACTCGTCACACAGCACAGTGGGTCTGTGGGCAGCACTATCCTCGACAGACAGGGAGCCACGGTACTGTACAGGCATGCTCCTTGACACTCCCAGCTCCATGACCAGGGCTCCAAAGGTTGCCATGCTCTGCCTCCACTACCACTTTTCTATTGCTGTGAAGAGATGCCATGACCAAGGAAAGTTATGGCAGAAAGACCTTACTGGGGGCTTACAGCTCAGAGAGTGAGTCCATGACCATCAGTGTGGGGAGTGTGGCATTGCAGTAGGAGCTGAGAACTTACATTGTACCAGCAAGTGCAAGGCACTAGGCCTGGTGTGAGCTTTTGAAATTGGCCTCAGTGACACACTTCCTCCAACAAGAACCCACCTCCTAATCCTTCCCAAACATATCTACCAACTGGAGACTAAGCATTCAGTAAGAGCCTATGGGGGCCATTCACATTCAAACCACCACAGCCAGCCACATAAATTATTTTCAGTATCTGGGAATCAAACCTAGGTCCTTGGCCAAACCAGACCAGCATTCTACTATTGAACTCTGACTCAGTTCCTGTAGTTTAAATTTTTTTAAAGATTTTTATGTGTATGGGTGTTTTGCCTGTGTGTGTGTGTGTACACCTGTGATCAGTGCCTGAAGTGTCCAGAAGAGGAAGTCAAGATGCCCTGGAACAGAAGTGACGTGGTTGTTAGCGGATGCATGAGCGCCAGGTCCTCTGGAAGAGTGTCCAGTATTCTTCACTGCTGAGCCGTCTCTCCAGCCCTTCCTCTACTTAGTTTTTAAACCTTTGGGAGCCAAACTGGTAGCACTCGGGGAGGCAAGGGCAGGGGGATCTCTGTGAGTTCAAGGCCAGCCTGGTCTACAAAGTGAGTCCAGGACAGCCAAGGCTACACAGAGAAACCCTGCCTCTAAAAGAACAAAATCCTCTTTGGCCACTAAAGACATTTGGTTCTTCTACTTTTGCAGTTCTAGAGGTGGGATGAGTGACTTGGGTGTGCTAGCAAGAGCTCTCTCACTGCATTGTACTTCCTCTTTCTCTGTTGTGGGGCAATTTTCTCCCTTATCTGTTATGGTCTGTTGACATGTCCCATCCAGCACACTTGAGTTTCTTGTCTTTGTAGTCTCTCAATTCCTAGATTATACCCCAAATCTTCTAAATTGTCTTTTACATGTTTTTCAGATTTTTCTACATCATTTTAAAAATTTTATTTATGTCTTATGTATATGGGTGTTCTGTCTGCATATAAGTCACGTATGCAGCACCTGTGAGGCCAGAAGAGGGCTTTTGGATTCTGTGAGACTGAAGTTATAGATGGCTGTGAGCCATCACGTGGGTGCTGGGAATCAAACCGGGGTCTCTGGAGGAATGGCCTGTGGTCTTATCTGCTGATCCATCTCCAGCCACTCTACATGATTTAAACATATTTCTCTCTACTGGGTTGAAATAACCAGCTTTGTGAGAATCCTATCCCCACTTCTATTTTATGTTAACCTGTTTTTCTACAAGAATATTCTTTGTCTCCTATATGGAAGGCACGTCTGGCCTCAGTTTCATTTACAAGTTCCTTCCTTTTTTAAAAAAAATTTTCATTAAGTTTTTAATTAATCACATTTGATTCACTTTGTATCCCAGCTGTAATTCCTTCCTTTTTTATGGATATGTAATTTTAAGATAAACTTAATAAAATGCCCAACACACTGAGATTTCAATGAGAGTGCACACTTGTAAGCTAACTTTTGAATTGACTTTGTGTTTTGCCTCCTCCTAAGACTCACTTTGAGCTCCCGATTTTCCTTGGAAGATTACAGGTATGTGCCACTAAGCCTGGCCTTCCCCCCCCCCCCTTTTTTTGAGACAGACATACTGTATTCTAGGCTAGCCTCAAAAATCTTAGACTCATGGCAGCTCTCCTGTTTCTGCCTCTCAGATGAATGGGTGATAGCCCACTACTTTGATTACTCTGTTGTTTTACATGTGAGGTTATATGCTGTTCTGTTACTTCAGATTTTCTGTTTCCGAGGCAGCCTTGGCTGGCCTGCAACTCACTCTGGTAGACCAGGATGGCCTCGAACTCGAGAGATCCGCCTGCCTTTGCTTCCCGAGTGCTGGGATGAAGGGCGAGCGCCCCATCAGCGCCCCACTGACCAGACGTTTACTTTCTTACAGAGATCAGCCTGCCTCTGCCTACTGGGTTTTGGGATTAAGGCGTGCGCTGACAAGTCCAGAATTGAATAAAACCTTAAAAAACTACCCTATTTTAGAGCTCTTCCGTAACCCTTCCTCTTCTACCTGCGGCGTCGACGTGCCCAGTCCGTCCGCTCGAGCCCGCCCCTTCCCCGCGGTTCCTGGTTACCTCTGGCACAATGACTAACGTCACTCGGGCCGCTCGGCTCCACCGCGCACGCGCACCGCCTCCGTTCCGGGCTCCACCTCCGGTTTTTCTCGATCCCCCAGCAACTGGTCCCCGGGGGAGGGGCGAGTCGCTTCAGCCAATCCCGAGGCCCGACGCCGCCGAGAGGCTCGACCCCGCCGCCTCCAGCCAATGAGCTGGCCGTTCGCTCTGCGTCACAGACTTTGCCCTACACCCCCCGCCTCTCGGGCTCGGGAGCGCAGTCCGCGCAGTAACAAACGGAGTGCGCGCTGCGACGCCTCCCCGCTCGCCCGGCCCCGCCGCCATTTCGTCGCCTGGCCTAACGGTTCGGCCAATCCCGACACGTAGCGAGAAGGACCAGCGCTCCGCCAATCGGAGGCCGCCGGCTCCGACCTCACCTCGGGCCGGCCCAATCCAGGCCGCGGCCCCGCCGCCCCCGGCCCGCCCCCGCGGCGTCCTCTCTCCTCCCTCTTTGTGCGTCTGGCGCCGCCGCCGCCCGCCGCGTGAGAGGACGCGCTCCCCGCGCTCCTGAGCAGCGTCGTCGGGTCCCCTCCCTCCCCAACCCCGGAAGGTTCGTGAAGGAGAAGCCGCCGCCGAGGACGAGGAGCCGCCGGTGCCGGTCCCCCGGGGCGCCATGGCGACCGGAGCGAACGCCACGCCGTTGGGTAAGCCGGGCCTACCAGGCCTTCCCCCGCTTCCTGGGCCCGGAGGCGGCTCCGAGCCGTGCCGCTCGGCGCTCGGGCCCCCGCCGCCGGGGAGGTCGCCGGGGGCTCTGCGCGGCCCTGTCGTCAGCGGCGCCGCCGCCACAGCGGCCGCCCCTCTTCCACCGAGGGTCGCCTCCGCGCCGAGACCAGCGGCCGGGCCGGGCCGGGCCTGCGGCGGCGGCGGGGGTGAGTCGGGCCGAGAGGGCGCGAGAGGCGTCGCGCGGACCGGACCGGCCGACCGAGGGGCTGCGCGACCGCGGTTGCACGCGGCGAAGGCGCGCGCGCGCGCACGGGAGGCTCGGGCGGACGCGCCCCGGAGTACGCGCGGCCTGGTTTGGGAGGCGCCGAGTGCGCACGCGCTCCGTGGGAGGCAGGCGGGCGGGAGGAAGCGTTCTCTGCGCAGACGCAGTGAGGCGTCCAGGCTTTGTGGCGCAATTCTGATAGCTTGGCGAGGCCACCTGTTGCACCCCCCACCCCCCGAGCTTCTGGTTGGGGGGGGGGGGGACAGGAGAGTGTGAAAGCTCCACGTAACGGCGTGGTGCTGGTGGCCCTCTTTATGGCTTGGGGAGACCAGTCCCGTGACAAGAGTGTGTCTTTCTACAGTAAGAGTTCAGAAGGCTTCTAAGGATGTTTGGGTTGAATCTTTTATTAAGGCTGTTAATCTCCTTTTGTTTTCTAGAAGGTTCTCAGAGTGACCAGCTTTCCCCGTGCTGTTATAAAAGCCTTTTTTTTTCTGAGCTTGTAATCCTGAGAAATAGAAAACCTTTTGTGGTAAATGTAGGGAAACATTTTGATGTATCAGCTGTGATGACAAGTGTCCACTGGTCAGAAAACTAAATGCTGCTCTTGCTACGTGTGAGGATGGTCTTCCTGAAGGATGGGATTTTTTTAATTAGTGATGTGTGGCAGGAGATTTGGTTGCTTTGTCATCTTGGAGCTTGTCTTTCCAATGCTTTGTAGGCCCGATTTTCCATCTCTCTTATCTTTTCAGCCCTTTAAGGCATTCAGAACTGGTAATGTGTATCTTATCAATTCCTTTTGGGGTTTCTGTGCATTAAGAATAGGAAGCAAGGGCATGGTGGCCAATGCCTTTAATCCCAGCACTATGGAGGCAGAGGCAGGTGGAAGCAGTGTGAAGCCAGCCTGATCTATATAGTTTAGGACAGCCAGGGTTTTGTAGAGAGACTATGATCTCAAAAAAACAACCAACCAAAAAACCCGAAGAATTGGACATATGCTTCAGTGGTAGAGCCCTCACTTGGCATGTACAATACCACAAAAGAAAATTTGTTCCTTGTATTTACATTCCAGCAAGTTCTTGTGGGGGGAAAGGGGGCAAATGTAAACGTGAAGTGTCCCTTAACTTTTCTGGCAGGAGGACCAGATACCTTTGTAGTGGCTGCTTGTTTTCTTCTCTGATCTCTGAGGTTTCAGTTCCTTCGCTTTTAAATTTTAGGTGGATTTGTGTTTCAATTTTAATTATCATGAACTACCTGTTGGTAGTCACTCTTCTGGTTCATATTTCCACCTGATGGACTCTGTCTGTGTTTAGACTTCCCAAGCAAGAAGAGGAAGAGGAGCCGTTGGAACCAAGACACAATGGAACAGAAGACAGTGATTCCAGGCATGCCTACAGTTATCCCCCCTGGATTGACTCGGGAGCAAGAAAGAGCTTATATAGGTAAATACACGTTCTGTATCCAGATGCATCTTCAGACTTTACTGCTCTTATTCTCAGTGACAAACTGTTGAAAGTCTGAGATTTTAGTCTTGGGAACAAGGTGTGATCAGCTGTGCTTTCATAGCTTTGTGGTAAACTGTGATTTGCTCGGCCAGTCCTGCGTTTGTAGCTTCTTGTTTGGGCCTGCTCTTAGCGGCAAATAGACATTAGCTAAGCAGCACACTTCTCAGCTGCTGTTCTTGCTCATTGATGAGGTGAATGTTACCTGCCTCTGGACAGGCCCCAGTGGAGAACACTGCAGGTATTGTAAACCAGGTGCCTTTTTGTAGCATGGTCTTTCACCTTAATGTTGTGGTTCCCTTTCCCTAAAAAATGTGGTTTTGCTTTTTATAGGTACAAAACAGTTTAAACAGAAAGTGGCTCTGAAAGTATTTACAGTTCACCCATTTTGTTGAATCTAATCTTTCCCTTCATTACCTTTTCTTGTCTGTTCTTAGAGAGCTGACTTAAAAATGAAGGCTCTTGTAATTTACAATTAAAGGACTCTGCTGGGAAGGGTTTACTGTTTGGTTTGAAATGAGATGGTGGCAGGATTTTAAAAATTAAGTTACTGTCCACAGTAGAGTTGAAGTTAAATCTCAAAATTACTTAAAAACTAAGGTCATTGATGCAATTTTTATATATCTGTCCCACTGTCTCAAAAAAGTGCACTTGATAAACATTTTCAACTAACCAAGTAAACATCCTCTTTGGGGCAGAAACCTCGTGGGTCCATGAAGCTGTGGCCTTCACAAACACAGCTTCAAGGTTAATGTGCTCTATACCTGAAGGGTCTTATTTCCTGGTTTTTAGATTGCTGAGAATTTTGAGGCGTTGGAATTGTCTGCTTCTTACATTACTACTAATACTACTTTTTCCCTGCTGCTGTTTACCTCTTACCCAACCTTTGGGGGTCATTAGACCAGTATTGGACCTTGTAACCTTGTAAAATGTCCCTAGTGGCGTCATAGCCCAAGAACACAAAATCTGATAAACACTTAATACTTTACAACTCCCCTCTCTTCCTCTGGAGGCCTAGTTAATGCATTAAGCCCTTAGGGACAATTTACATCTTCCATTGAAATAGACAGACTCAGAAGTTATTATGTATAGGTTTTTGCTTCGTGGGAAATAGAAGCCTTTTCAGATTTACTCTTCAGTGCTAGGCGTTTATTCACGTCTGATCCCACAAGTAATAGGTAGTTGCCTTTGGTAGTTCCTCTCAGTTTCTGAGTTTAATGTCAGACTACAAGCCTAGAACTTGTTTAGAGTAAAGGAGCTTGGAGAGCAACTGTCCCTTAGCACACACTTGCTTTGTCCAAATGTCCTTAGTATTCTCTCACTATTAATTTTTTTTATCAGTATTTCAGCATGGAAATATATAGTTCTGTGAGACATGCTTTAAAGTTAGAGTTATTTGTAGTTAAATATACATTAATTCTAATTGTGAGTAAAGCGTGCGCTTACTGCCTGATGAGAAACATGGGGCTGGATAAAGATACAGGAGAGGTAGTTACATACATAGTGAGGAAGTCTAGGTTTTCTATCCTACTGCTGTATTACACTTTACCTGAGTTACTGGCAGCTTTTAGTGAAACCCTCATCTCTGTTTCAAACCTCGGGGCCACATATATTCTCCTTGACCTTCACTTTGCACCTTTTACACACCTTCCCGGGACATCAGCAGATAGTGTGAAAATAAACTCATACCCTGGTGTAGTAGCACACACCTTTAACACAATGAGGCAGAGGTGGTCGATTTTGATTTCTAAGCCAGTGTGGTTTACATGGTGTGTTCTAGGACACTGGGCATAGTCAGGGGTTTTGAAACCCAGTCTGCAAAAACCAATAGAAAGCAAAAAAAAAAAAAAAAAAAAAAAAAAAAAGCATAAGCTTTTACAGCATCTTAACTAGGCCCACTGGATTATAAAGAAAGGTATGTGGTTTGTTCACTATTTGAGTAAAGCTGCAGGTACTGGGGGACTCCTTTAGTATGGGTCTGGTTGTACAGAAAGTATGCATATAGATCTCTAGGATGTTGGTTATTAAATGTCTTGATTAAAGAGTTTTAAACTTGGTTTTAATAAAAATGATCTTTGCTCAACTGCTATTTTTGTTATCCCATGTTAATTGAGTAATTTTGGGCTGTGTTTAATATTTATTGAAGAAATAGAAACTTAAGTCTTTCCCTGAGTTTGGTGGGAAGCAGGTACTGTGGTATCTTAAATGCTGTTGGTTCAGGGTGCCAATCTTAAGTGTTGGTGGGGAAGGGAGAGGTGAACACCTTGATAATTGAAATTGTAAGCTGTAGTGAACAGTCTTAACTGCTAACCCCTCTTCCAACAAACTGTTTGCTTCCTTAATTTCATTTTGAAGTGAAAATTAACTGTAGATGTAAATGGACTTCTGCTGCTAGGTGGTTGGGGGTTTTGCCTCAGTGTGTCACTGATCAGTCGTCCCTTTCAAAGTCTCCGAGTTCTTCATGCTTGTTATTGAGATTTGAGATGTTTTTTGGTAACATTGTCTTTTTTCCATCCTTTTTTTTTCTTTCCTAACCTGGTTTCTTCCAGTGCAACTACAGATAGAAGACCTGACTCGTAAACTGCGCACAGGAGACCTGGGCATCCCCCCTAACCCTGAGGACAGGTTGGGAAACAGTTTTAACCAGCTGACAGTAACGCTTTTACCTTTTTCTCAATATGTTTTTACTGGTGGCAACATACTGTGTCAGTTCAATAAAATCCTAGTTAAGACGACTGGTATTCTGACCAGGGTTTAAATAGCAGAATGTATGTGCAGTCAACAGTTAGAGAAAATTGGAATGAAATTTAATGGGAGAATAAGAAAAGAAAATGAATCACTGGTTTGTAATTGGTAAGCATGTAGATTTTAACTTGGTAATTTGCCCACCCCTAGGGACAGTGAGGGTGGGTGGCCATTAGCCTGCCTTTTCACTGGCTGCTTTGGCTGAAAGCACAGGGGTTGGTTTTTCTCATTGGTATGCTATGCAGGGATTTGAGAATATTTTTAACCATCACTGAATTTGAGCAGGCCAAGCTTGTTGAAGTCTTACCTGCTTGTGGTTTTGTGATTGTTTTAAAATCAGAAGATTTCTAACCAACTTCCTTCATTGCCAGTTAATTTTCAGCCTTGGCCATTGCCGGCGGGTTTTGGGAGGGGAAAGCAAGCAACCAATCCCTGAATTATTACCTTTTTGTTTTTAAAAGGGAATGTGGGCCTCAAACAGCTGTGGTCATGCCATTTCCGTTTATAGTTTCTCTCACCTCTGAAAAGTTTGAGAGAGGAACGTTGTAAGTGAAATTTTACTGCCTGATAGGTCTGCTCATTTAGTAGACAGTACGCTTCTGCTGAAACCTCTCAGTGCATGTAGCATAGTTGAAACGATTGGTTTGAAGGTGTTTCTGGCTTTTGTTATCCTGGCTGGTAATGGCTTTAGAAGTCACACAGTTCTGCTGCCCCTTGCCATGCCATGAAACAAACAAACAAAAAACCTTAATAATTTCTCCATATTGACCTTCTTTTGCTTATCAGTTTGTTACATTTTTATGTATAGATTTTGGTTGGAAAGTTGTGTCTTATATTTCTTTTTTTGATTTGAAGATTTTTGTTTTTCAGTTTTTTAAAGATTTATATTATAGGTTATAGACCACAACTGTTTAGTGCCTTTTTGGCCATTTCCCCTTTAATGGTATGTCTACAGGTTACCAGGCAATTCCTCCAAAGGTTGAGTTTTTAACAAACCTTGTTTGCTTCCTGGAGAACCGGGATTAGAGTGCAGTTGATGTCGATGCCTCTTCTAGGTGAAGAAGTCCGGCCAGTCTAACCTCTAGATTGCTAGCTTTTGCTTTTCACTTCCACAGTTTGGGAAGAGGTTAAATGGTTATGAAGCCTTTAAAAGGCCAATTTGGTTCTTGTACAATTTGGTAATTAGCCAGAAACACTCAATTTTAGGTAGCAATGGGGTGGACATGCTAGAAATGAGTAAAAGCAGAGCAGAGTTTCTCCTCCCTGTATATGCTCAATTTTGAGAGGCCCTAATGCCTGATTGCTTTTGCTTTTTAAGCCCAGGTTGGAGGGAAATACATGAGTTTCTTACCTTAATAAGATGATTTCTTAAGAAGGTGTATTTCAGAATTAAGCCACTTTGCTATTTTGATGCTGCTTAACTTGCACAATTAAAATGCTTTAAAATGTGTTGTAGACTTAAGTGTGTAAGATGACAGTCTAATGAGTTGGGGATGTTTGCTTGTGTTCACTATGACTGAATTGTGCTAACAGTTCATACAGATGCTAGAAACGGAGGTGTCATTTAGCCGTCATTAGCCACGAACAAACCTGACCTTTTATTCCATCGTGTGTGTAACCTGGTATGACATGGTTCCCTTTAGGCTGAAGACAGTGGGAGCAGCCGAGTTCAGTTCTTGCTCTCCAACTAGGCACAGTTTCCTCAACTAAACCAAGGGTGTAGGGGTCGGGACTACTTTTCAGGATGATTTTTAAAATAACCTGATCCACATGGTCTCTTCCCTTCTTGCAGCTGCTACTAAATTTTCATACAGAGTATCAAGCTATGTCCTTTTTATAATCTTACCTCAGTTCTAGGAGTGTAACTTCTCTCTTTTTTTGTTTTTTTTTTTTTACCGCAAAAATCAAGCTGTGGTAAACTCATCATTTTATCATTACTATATATTTTTTTAATTTTTGCTTGTAGCATCAGCATTTTATTCCTTAAAAATGAGAGAGATTTCTGGACTTGTAAACTCTGGCGGAGAATTGTAGTTCCCCCTTGCTGTTGACAGGTTCAGACCCTAGACAAGTGTTTGACCAAATCTGCATTTGCAGCCTCTTGCAGAAGCTGCATTAGCATTTTAACGGTTTTCTTTACCCAGACTCCCCACCTTGAACAGCCAGGCCATTGAAGGAAAAGCAGAGACGAAGCCTTGCACCATTCCTCTCCATTGTGGGGGCCAAGTAGCTACAGTAGCTTGAGTCCCAGATGCTTTGGGTGAACGAGCTTGTGTTCATTATGTGGCAGGGGGGTACAGATGCTCTTCCTGTTAGGCACAGTTCACCTAAACTTGGGTTTCTGTGGTTCATCAAGCTGGGTTATTATAATTTTTTTCAAATGAAAGAAGCATTTGGCAAGAAGCTTCCAGAGGATGATCTTGTTCTTGCCATTTGTGGTCCAAAGGTTTCCCTTTAATAGACCCTTCCCTTGTCACTTTTAGAAGTGAAAGCATTTTTCTTCTTTCTCACATACACACCAGTTTGCCTAATGTTAAGTCAGATTCCATCTCCTCATTCCACACGATCTTGAATAGCACACGTAATGGTCGGTTCCTCCGAAGAGTTGTTAGGATCTGAGAGGCAGAGGGGCTGGGCAGACTTGTTATAGTCCATGCGGGAGCAAGGGGAGTAGGGGTCAGAACGGTAATGGGGATCTGTCTCCCACAGGTCCCCTTCCCCTGAGCCAATCTACAACAGCGAGGGGAAGCGGCTTAACACTCGAGAGTTCCGTACACGCAAGAAGCTTGAAGAGGAACGGCACACCCTCATCACGGAGATGGTTGCTCTCAACCCAGACTTTAAACCACCTGCAGATTACAAGTAAGCAGGGGGCACATTTAAATCATATGTGGCCTACTGGGACAATTCTGTTTTATTACTTACTGTTTGACTCACATGCTCAGTTCTCACATGGTATATCCTTGAGTTGTAGAAGAGTTTGGGTTATGTGTGCCGCCACCCCCCCCCCCCCCGAAAGAGATGATGATAATTTTTTCTTCCTTAGGCCTCCAGCAACACGAGTGAGTGATAAAGTAATGATCCCCCAAGATGAGTATCCAGAAATCAATTTTGTGGGGCTTCTAATTGGGCCCAGGTGAGTAATTTACTAGTGTATGGCATACATTTAGTTCCCTTTAGGGTTTCAGGGTTTGATTGTGTTTGGGATTTGCCATATTTGTTTTGGCTGAATTATGGCTTAAACTTGGTTTGTGCTCTTCCCGCTTCCACCCACCCCCATTATCTGTAGAGAAGTAAAATCCTGAGTGTGGGTGACCTTAATGTAGAACTCTGAAACAGAGTCCTTAGTGAGGGAATCTGATGCTCTCTGCATTTTGCAGTTTCCCACCAATGCCTACTCAGCCCATCCCCTTTTACTCTCTGCAATAGGAATTTGCGCAGATTGTAAAAACAGTCTTTTCTGCCTTTGACAGAGGGAATACCCTGAAGAACATTGAGAAGGAATGCAATGCCAAGATCATGATACGGGGGAAAGGATCTGTGAAAGAAGGGAAAGTTGGGCGTAAAGATGGTCAGATGTTGCCAGGAGAAGATGAACCTCTTCATGCTCTAGTCACTGCCAATACAATGGAGAATGTCAAAAAGGCAGTAGAACAGGTATGTGATGAGCCCAGGAGGAGCCTTCTTGCTGGAAACCTAGGTGATAGCCCCAGACACTTTAACAACTAATTGCGGGGTCTGTCTTAATAGATCAGAAACATCCTGAAGCAGGGTATTGAAACCCCAGAGGACCAGAATGACCTACGGAAGATGCAGCTTCGAGAGTTGGCTCGCTTGAACGGCACTCTACGGGAGGATGATAACAGGTCAGTGATAGTGTTGAGAAGACTGCATAAAAACCTAAAGAACCCTTTGAAGTAGAAAGGTGGTCTTTACGGGGTTTTGAATTGATTTCTCTACCTCAACAGGATCCTAAGACCCTGGCAGAGCTCAGAGACACGCAGCATTACCAATACTACCGTGTGTACTAAGTGTGGAGGGGCTGGCCACATTGCCTCCGATTGCAAATTTCAGAGGTGAGGTCTGGCTGTCAGCATGACTCTTGGCAGCCCACTGGTGTTCAGAATCCTTCTTTCCATACTGACTCATGGTTCATCTCATGTACCAGAGCAGAATCCTTGTGGATACGGCTGGGTGGTGTGAGCTGAGGACTGCAGATGTGGAGAGCCACTTATTGTCTTATCCAGAAACTTACACTCTGGCTATAAATGTTTCCATTGGGTGCAGTATTTATCTTCACTGCTTAAGATTTGTTAAGACTAGGGTTTTATTACCATAAGGCTCTTATGAGGACATGGATGCAGTTTCTGTAAGTCTTGTATACTATCAAGATACAATTTTTTTATTTTTAATTTTGAGTGTTTTGTCTATATGTATGTCTGCAGTGTGCATGCCTGGTGCCTGTGGAGGTTAGAAGAGGGCTTTAGATCCCCTAGAACTGGAGTTACAGGTGGTTGTAAGCTGCCGTGCAGGCACTGGGAATTGAACCCATATTCTTTGCAAGAACAATAAAAGTACTATTAACTCTTGAGCCATTTCTCTAGTCTCATAGAGATAGGATTTGATAAAACATAAGAGGTGAGGTCTTGTACAATGATTGGTCATTGGGACCTCTAACTCAGGGCCTATGCTGTGACTGGCAGTGGTGAATATAGACACAGAATGGCTCTCTTGAGTATTTTCTCCTTTTTGTTTCTGAACCTACTTTAGGCCTGGTGACCCTCAGTCAGCTCAGGATAAAGCACGGATGGATAAAGAATATTTGTCACTTATGGCTGAGCTAGGGGAAGCTCCTGTTCCTGCATCTGTGGGCTCCACCTCTGGACCTGCCACCACACCCCTGGCCAGTGCACCAAGACCTGCTGCTCCTGCCAGCAACCCACCACCACCGGTGAGCCCTGGGACAATTCTCTGGCCTAGCTGCCCCATTCTCTTTTGCAGAGACTAGGAGCTATGGCCAAGGGTTTGGGGTAAAGCTAAGAGGTGGATATAGCTGGCAGCATTGTTCTTCTGGGATGTCTGGCCTTTGTGGGGTCTCTCACTTTGAGAGGATCCTATCCTTGATATATTCAAGGACTGTGTCCTCTGACATAGTCAGAAGAACAATGTTGCCACCAGGGGGAGCAGGCACTGACAGTGGCAGGAAATGCTCTCATATAGTCTCTCATGTCTACAACTCAGAGTCGCCCACCCTGGATGAATTCTGGTCCTTCAGAGAATCGGCCCTACCATGGCATGCATGGAGGTGGTCCTGGTGGGCCTGGAGGTGGCCCCCACAGCTTCCCACACCCATTACCCAGCCTGACAGGTGGGCATGGTGGACATCCCATGCAACACAACCCAAATGGACCTCCACCACCTTGGATGCAGCCGCCGCCGCCACCGATGAACCAGGGCCCCCACCCACCTGGGCATCATGGCCCTCCTCCAATGGGTAAGTAAGTGTCGGACCAGAAACCTTGGGGTTTAGGGGGGGGGAAATAGGCTGCTCACACCTGTGGCTGTGAGCTGTAAGCAGTGCTGATGGGCTAACCAGTGTTCTGAATCTTGAAGCAAAGAAGACCTTTTATGTGGGGAGGCCCACCCACTGTTACAGTCGAACTTTTGGGAGGTTAATAACTTAAAAAAGCTCTGTGACTAAGAAAGGTATTGGGGTTGTCTTGCCTGGCCAGTTCAAATGTCCTGCTAAGTCCCTGCTCTTTCCTTCCATCAAGATCAGTACCTGGGAAGTACGCCTGTGGGCTCTGGGGTCTATCGCCTGCATCAAGGAAAAGGTAATGCTACTGCTTGCTTATTTGGGGGGGGAAGCTGTTCTAGCCCAGCACCGTGGTCTCTAAAGCAGAACTCTGCCTGCAGGTATGATGCCACCGCCGCCTATGGGCATGATGCCGCCGCCTCCGCCACCTCCCAGTGGGCAGCCCCCGCCTCCTCCCTCTGGTCCTCTTCCTCCATGGCAGCAGCAGCAGCAGCAGCCTCCACCACCCCCTCCGCCCAGCAGCAGTATGGCTTCCAGCACCCCCTTGCCATGGCAGCAAAGTGAGTGGAATATTTTGGGCTTGTGGGGGTGGGTGGGATGTGGGCTGGGGCTGAGAGGAAAAGAACCTCATATTTCACTTGGGCTTGGAAACACCTTGGGTGAGAGGAGACTCTGGTCTCAGCAAGGGCAGCGGGGTTGAAAGCCAGGCTACCTGGCCCAAAGGACTGTCTTGTGGGGAGAGCTGATGTTTGGTGTGGTTGTGTTTGGGAGAGACTTGGGAGGTCCGAGGGGAGCTTGCTATTGTAGATAGAGCACCAGAAGTCCAGGCTAAGCTGCTGAATGAGCTACTGGTTTGGCCGTGCCTTGTGCACGGGAGTCAAGAGTGGGATAATGCATGCATGTTCTGGAGGGGTTGCGATTGGTCCTGAGAGACTGCAGAGATAAGGGAGGGGTCTCAGAGGGAAAAGAGCAGCTGTGGGCTTGAGGTTGATTGTGCCGTTCGGTGGTGGCGGCGGCTGGGCGGAGGGATGTCAAAGCCGGTTCTTGTGTCTGGTACTTTCCCCTTAGCCCCTCCAGGGGCATTGGTGACAAAGGGCTTATTTTGTTAAGCCCAGAGACCATGAGGCTGACCCCCAGGGTAGTCCTGCCCACCCCTCCACTCCCATCACCAGGACAGCCCCGCCCGCCCGCCCCCACCACCGTACCGCATGCCAAGCAAGGAGCAGGCACCCCTCGTCCCCTGTCCCAAGGCAGCAGCCGCAGAGAGCCGCGGTGTACCCCCGCGCGTGTGACCTTGGGCTTCTTTACTACCCCAGATACGACGACTACCACCACGAGCGCTGGCACAGGGTCCATCCCGCCATGGCAACAGCAGCAGGCGGCTGCCGCAGCTTCTCCAGGAGCCCCTCAGATGCAAGGCAACCCCACTATGGTGCCCCTGCCCCCCGGGGTCCAGCCGCCTCTGCCGCCCGGGGCCCCTCCCCCTCCGCCGCCTCCGCCACCTGGTTCCGCCGGCATGATGTATGCCCCGCCCCCTCCTCCTCCGCCTCCCATGGACCCTTCTAACTTTGTCACCATGATGGGCATGGGGGTGGCGGGCATGCCGCCCTTCGGGATGCCTCCAGCTCCCCCACCGCCTCCACCACAGAACTAGACTTGTTTTTTTTTTTTTAAGAAAATATATATTATATACATAGAGAGTTGGTCTCGTTTAAACACACGCCGAACCTCACCATATGGAGCCAGACATTGGGATGCACGCATGTGACTGTGTGTGCACGCATGTGTGTGTGTGCACGCACTGGGCTGGGCCAAGTGACTGTGGACTCGCTTGGGAATGGGCAGGTGGTAGTAGGGGCGCCAGCTTGGGCTTTCCTGGCGCCCTGTAGCATCGAGTGTCTTCTTTGTCTTCTTCTCTCCTCACCCAACTCCCTTTGCCTCTTCCCCAAACTGGGCCGCCAGGATCCCTCCCCGCGGCAGCGATGGCCCGAGCCATGAGAGTGAGGACTTTCCGCGCCCATTGGTGACCCTTCCAGGCAGACAGCCTCAGCAGCGCCCCTGGTGGACAGGATGGTTCGGCAAAGCAGCCTGAGTTATTTTTCTGGACGGAAACGGAACACGCTGGCTCCATATCGTGAAATTTTTATTAATTTTTATCTTTTTCCTTTGTTATTTCCTTATCTTTTCCTTTCTTCAGACTCCGTCCAAGGAGATGCTCTCCCCGGTCTTCTGCTGCAGATAGAATCCTTTCCCATGTCTCCATTCTTCTCCTCCCAAGAAGAGAAGAGCAAATGGTTTAGGCACAGGCTGTGGCCATTAATGTGTGTGTGTGTGGTGGGGGAGGGCTGTTGTCCAGTGGTTCTAAATTGTTGAAGGGCCTTGGCCACACCCAAGATGGTTTATTTTTGTCAACTTTTAAACAGTCTTGAGAATTCTGACATTGCTAGATGGGGTTAATGTGGCCCAGGGATTCACATCTTCCTGCATTCCTGTCAGCAGTAAGTGGCACAGCCCAAGCCACTATAGGCCTGACTGCCAGCCTGGAGTCTTTTCCATGCTCCTGATCACCTAAGCTGCCTCAGTTGCCATTTGCTTCTCTCCTTCCTGGAAAGCTTCCCGTTATGTTTTATTTTGACCCCAGATGTCCACATGTTTTGCAGTGTCTGGGGCTTGCGTCCCTTGTTCTTCATTCTGCTTCTTTGCCCCCTTCTCTCTTCATGGAGTGATTATGTTGACAATAATGTGTAATGCGCGTTCTTTTCACTGGTTTATCTACAGAAAATTTCTCTGGGCTTTTTTTTTCCGGTGTTTGATTCAACACTGCGCTAAGGGGGGATGTTCCATTGAATAAAAAGAGCAGTGTGGTTTTCCGGGTCTGTTTCTTTTCTTTGTAAACCTCCTTTTCCCAACCTATAATGGCACCAAAGTTTACCCTACCTACCTTGTTTTAACAAACTTGGCCCCAACTCAACCTCCTGTATGTGAGTAGCTTCAGCTGCCACCCTGTGTCTAGTTGCTATAACTGAGAACCAGGCTTACTCCACATCTCAGTGATCTCTTATTTTGATGTCCTTTCCTGGGGCTCCAACCCCCATATTTGATGAGCTCTAGTTAGGATTTGTGTCTACTAGCTGCCACCTGACTTCAGGACCTGGGCCTGGGGAGGCATCAACACTAAAGGTCAGGCCAACTAATCCTGCTTGTCAAGCTCAGAGCTGCTAAAATTAAAACCGCCAAGTGGCCTTTTTCTTTCTCTGCTGGTGGCTCTCAGCCTGCCAGCACTGCAGGCCTAGGGGAGTGGTTGGGGCGGAATGTGTTGCCCTCGTACTAAATGGGCACCTCTGCAAAGGGTCTTCTGCAGTTCCACAATTTAGGATAGTAGATAGTAGGCAGATGACACCAGAAAAATTGTCCCTTCTGTCTTTGTAAGAGCCAGGTCTATGGGCAGCTAATGCAGCTGTTGCTGGGCAGAGCTGCCTTGCTGGTTTGTCCAGTGGCTTGCCTGCAGTTGTTAATAGCCCACCCTTTTGTCCTTAACCTTATAGCGTGGGGACAGAGCCTGGCTACCCTCTTCGACCTTGGCTTTACCTCATTGCTTTCCTCGCTATCTTGGTTTCCCTGGTGGGCTCATTGGGTGGTTAATTAGCTCTTTGAAGCTCTGGAAGCGGCAAAGTGGCACTATGTGGGTTTTAGAAATAAAATCAATAAATGACTTAAACCACAGCTTAGCCATCCCACCTCCTGTGCAAGTGTGCTCTCATGCCCCAACCCCCATCGCTGCTGCCAGAGCTTGTTACACTTTGAAGGCCCAGCTACAGCAAGCACCTTTGTGTGGTGTCAGTGTTAGGAGGTGGGGAATACCCACTTGTCCTATGGCCTCTTGGGTAGGAAACACCCAGTCCTATTGTGTCAGGGCTCTGCCTCACTTGATGCCAGTTGCTCTGCCCCTTCAGACTTGGGCAAGGGTCATGTCAGGTAGAGGTGGTCAGCATGAGGTCTCCATTCCCGAGACAAGTGCTCTGCAGACCCAGTGTAAGTTCAGGTGGGCAGGCCAGCTCTCTGGTCTGGGGTGGATGTAACTTCAGGGTCCTGGGAAGTAAACTGTACCCATGTTCTTGAGTGAAGATGAGAGGAAGGGTGAAAGAGACGGCTATGTTTGAGCCTGTACATCTTACACTGGGATAGGGTATATAGAGCAAAGGGGGAGCCCTGCCGTGGAGATCCAGAAAATTCATGGAGGAAGTGTGTGATAAGGCCTTAGACTTGGCAGGGCTGTCCAGCCTTTGGCTTTGTAACATGGTATGTGGGCTGTAGGTTGGATTAGAAAAGGAGTGTGAGGGGGTAGGGGCTGAATTGATAGAGCAGAGAAGCCCTGTCTCAAAAAACCAACAACAACAAAAAAGCGATATGATTGTTGAAATGCTGCCAAGTATTTGTGTCTGATTCTCAAACTATATGAAGTATGCCCAGTGTAAGGCAGTGTGTGGGGGTTCACTCTTAAATCCAGCACTTGAAGGCAGAATCAATCAGGAGGATCTTTGAATTTGAGGCCAGGTTCAGGTTTTAGGCCAGTCAAGGCTGTTGTAATGAGACCTGCCAGGTGTGTATGGGCAGCACAAATTGTCAGTGGATTTTTATAAAAGAGAGATTGCCACAAAATTGGGTAGGCATGGCTATGAGATGAAAATAAATGAAATCCTCAAGAACTAAAAAAAAATCTAGGTGTGTTAACAGAGCTGGGGAGATGGGAGACAGGAGGATTCCTGAAACTCACCGGCCAGCTGGTCTAGCCTAAATTGTTTAGCTCTAGGCCAGTGAGAGGATGTGTTTCAAACTAGTGTATAGTTTCAGTTCAGCCAGAACTACGTAGTGAAATTTGCCAAAAAAAAATCATGGCTAGGCAATGGTGGTACACACCTTTCATTTCCATACAGAGACAGGCAGATCTCTATGAGGCCAGCCTGGTCCACAGTGAGCTAATTTCAGACAGGACAGGCCACATAGAGAAACTAGCTCAACAAACCCAACTACCATGATGAACCAGAGCTACCATTTAATTTGTATATAGGATAGTGATCAGCTACCATTTTAAATATATAAAATATATTTTAAATATATATATTAAATATATATAAATAAAATGGTAGCTGACCACTCTCCTAGATCCAGTTTCACTTTAGACCCTGTGTCAGGAATGAGGTAGGGTGATAAAAGTCAGGGAGGCTCTAAAACAATATGCTCAGTTGCAGGACAGATCAAAAGCCAAAAGGGGGAGGAAGCCCGTCCTGTAGTGTGGGAAAGTACTATGCAGGCTGATGGGAGAAAATTGTCAACAGTTTTTATACTGCTTTGGATTCATGTAGTCGGGATGAGTGTCTTGGAGTAATTAACTACCGTTTGAAAATTTGAGACCTCCATAGGAAGGAATTTGCATTTGATACTGTAAGCTTAGTTAAATGCTCATAGGGAGGATACAGGTCCTACAGGGGAAACAACTGGATTTTTGTGAAATGGTCTCATCAAATTGTCTTCTAAATAATAGATTAGTGTTGAAGGTCAACTTCAATTCACAGAGATCTGCATGCCCAGCAAGTTCAGTTGTGTGTGTGTGTGTGTGTGTGTGTGTGTGTGTATGCCATGTGCCCAAGGAAGTCAGAAGAGGGCATTGGTTGGTAGCTATTGACAGAGGTTCCAAGACCCAAAGTTGGGTCCTCAGGAAGAGGAGAAAGTGCCCTTTTTAATTACTGGTCATCTCTAGCCCCAGAGGCTTTGTTTTGCATGGGAGGGAGGGAGCACAGTTGTAACAGCAGGTACTCCTAACTGGTCAGAATGCTAACTGTAAGTGACTTGAATGTTCAGCCATAAATGATACACTACCCCAAGGCTTAGAGAGCAGCCCAAGAAGGCACAGGATGTGTGAGCTGGGCAATAGAGTGGGATGTTGTGGTGTCTTCAACTCCCAGCAGCTGTGATTACCTGCACAAGATTGGTCTTTCCAACATCCTGTCCTAGAGGGGGAGAGATTCACAGGACTCTACTCCCTGGTCATCTATTGTTGAGTGGTTGCTGGGGGAGGGAGGAGACATTTTCTGCACTGATGTAGACACTGGTAAGATGCCCATGCTCCACTAAACCTCTCATTCACACTTCTGTAAGCAACCACAGTGATGTGTCTCTCTCACACACATGCCACACAAGTAGACCGGCTTAATTGTGAATCAGGAGAGGGCTATGGGGAATGAATATGATCAGAAAGCCATTATACATAATGCTGACAGATATCTAAAAAATGAGAACATATGAAAGACAAACGTGGCTGGCAAGATGATTCACTGGGTAGAAGCAAAAGCCTGATGACCTGAGTTTGGTTCCTGGAACCCAAGGAAGGAGGGAATTAACTTGCAAAATTGCCCTTTTGACCTCCATATGTGCACCATGTGTACACCACATACACATAATAAATACAATTTAAAAAATAAAAATGGAAGTAGAGCTGGAGACATAGGTCTGTGGTAGAGCACTTAGCTAATATGTATGAGGCCCTAGACATTGAAAAGTCTAGAGAAAAAGGTGTCTGTGTAAGCATCTGTGTTTTCTTCCTGGCTTCTATATTTGATAACCTGGCTCCAGGAAATGAGCAGGGGCATTGTGCCCATGGTAGGGGAAGAGTCAGAGCTTAGCCTGAAAAGACCTGAGAGTGGCTTGCAGTTTAGGCCACACAGTGAGCTGCTTGGGAACTCCAGAACCCCGGCAGAAAGTTCTCAGAAACAGCTTGGCTCTCCCAGGCACTAGCTATCCAACTCCTTGGCCCTCAGAGTAGAACGCCCAGTTCTTCCTCTCAGCCTGCTACCCTGGAGGCACAGCCAGCTTTTGAAGTAGCCTGAGGGCCTAGGTTCTGTTCCTTCAAAGAAAGACAGGAGCTAGTGTCTGCTGTGCCCTCCCCCAAATTAAGAGGCAACAACTGATGAGACACAGTGTACATTTGATAAAGGAGTCAGAGATTCAGCCCAATAAAACAGCCAGCCTAAGGACACACAGCAAGATACTGCTGGGGTCAGTAATGAGCTGCAAATGGAGGCAGCCAAAGTCTGGAAGGGGAAGCCTGAAGGACTAGGCTATTTGGGTGACTAGAGGAAAGGGATAAAATAGGCTCTTGGAAGTCATGGAGGTAGCACGCAAAATCCCCCACTGTATAACCTGGGTGGGAGCAGGAGAGAAAGGTCTCAGGAAGACCTTGGTGTTGTTATCCAGGGGTTGGCTAGTTTTTTTTTTTTTTTTTTTTTTTGTGGTGCTAGAAATTGAGCACAGAACCTAGGCAAGTGCTCTGACACTCAACTCAGCCCTCTATTTTTTTGAGATTGCATCTCAATGATTTGCCCAGGCTGGCCTTGAATGCTTATCTATAGCATTCTGAGCTGTTGGGTAGGCGGTGGTGGCACATACCTTTAACCCCAGCACTCAGGAGGCAGAAACAGGCAGATCTCTGGCCAGAGTTCAAGGCCAGCATGGTCTACATATACATAGCAAGTTCCAAGATGGCCAAGGCTAAATAGTGGGACCCTGACTCAAATAATAGAAGAATAGAAGTAGAAAGCTAGAGGCAGGCGGATCTTTGTGACTTTGAGGCCAGTTTGGTCTACAGAGCAAGTTATCTGTGTAGTCTTGGCTACATGGATAAACAGATAAACCCTGTCTTGAAAAAAAAAAAAAAAAAAAAAAACGATAGATAGAAAATTAGAAAAGGACTTGAACTTAATGACCCTACTGTATCAGCTTGCTAAGGAGCTGAGATTCCAGGCTGGTAACACCAGTTTATCAGTGCCATGAACTGTTGGGGATTGTTCTCTCACCCCTGCAGACCCACAGGACT